TCGCTAGCGGGTTTCGAACCTGCATCGTTTCATTGCCGAACGTGTAATTGTCAACCTCAGCTACAGCGGCACATGAAGGTATGATGTGAAATTAACAAGTTAATATTTTCATAATTTTGCATAATGCTAAAAAGCAAGAGCCGTGTACCATGCATTGTAAATGTCAGCTCGCGACGGAGCTTGGCGCACGTGCAACAGCGGCAGAGAACGCATTCCTCGTGCATCACACAAGGGCGACTCACACAGTATAAATACAGTCTGCAAGGAGTTCTGGTTTATTTTTCAAATATCTTCCACAACAGAATATTTTGTCAAAGTGTAAAAGTAGGGATGAGTCTTTCGTAGGGGAATATCCTCGTAACTCAGACATTCCCCTCTACGTAGTCAGTCTTACAGACCCTGATACAAATATATATCAAATACAGCCCATGCAAGTCTATAATGTTTGGCAAGTCTAGATCACTGCAGTATCTGAAAATGAAGAGAGTCACTGGGGCTCCTTTTTATTATATTTTTATTAAGATAACTAAACAACTGGTTTTTTATGTACGATATGTTCATTTCAGAGACTAGATTTTAGTCTACCCTCTACGTACCCATGTGGGGAATCGAACATTCTTAGGCGTAACGAGCGAACACTTCAAACACCAGGCTACCCCATCGCCTAATAAATGCAAATAAGAAGTAAATTAAAGGTCTTAAATGTCTGTCCCCACGGAAATTGGGGGTAATGACAGATTGCTAACAACCGATATTATGCTTGTTATGTGGTAAGAGGCGGCTAAATGGATCAGGTGGTCGGGCGTGGCACGACACTCTAACGGCCTGCGTGAGACTTATCTCCTATATCAATTATTGGTTTGTGTGGTCAGATTATTTCCAAGCCGTCGCCATATAGCTGGAATATTGGCGTTTAAAAAAGCCCCTACAGATCTTACCTACAGTGTTTCAGTGGCATAAATCTTGCTGAATGTGTGCCTACTGTACTTGCAGTGTTTCTTTATAGTTGCAAGGGGCGATAGAGCAGCCAAGTATACATGTAATACTATGTATCTTCTTGTCCCCCAAGCGCTGACGATATCCAAGGCCACGTGTTGTATTAGGGTCTTCGCATGGAGGCGACTTTTTAATTTTACGTATTCGCATTAAGGTGAATCGTGGTGCACTTTGAAGGTTTGAAAATAACATATTTTGCTTGTGTTTATTTAAGGGATTATGACTGAGGGGGGCGGTGTGAAAAACTTACCTCCGCTCACCGATGTTAGCTGCATGTCCAAAACTTGAACCATGTTCATTTAGAACTGATTACTAATGATTACTGAACTTCCTTTACATTAATATACGTAATAAAAACATTAAGGTATTGCTTAAGAAAGAGATTTCTGCCCAAGCTCCGAGGTTGCGGCTAACTGTGTGGTGGTGGTTGCATGTATACACTCGGCAAGATAAAGGCAGAAGAGGTTTATTGAACTGGAGATACAGGATGCACTACGAAACTTTTAAAAAGAACCTTAAGAAAAGTCACCTTCATACCTACTTCAAATTATCTGCATACACTTGAGACAATCGCAAGTAAGTGGGTTCTCTCATGTGGTTGCCATGGATACCAAGCTTTGAAAAGATGGTTCCAGCAAGATTAGGACACGCTGATGTTGGGGAAAATAGCGCAACAAGTTCAAGCAGGTTCATACTATCCACGGACGGCGCACCAGCGTTTTTGCCAATTTGTAAGTTACTCCGTGGCTGGTCAAAGTCAGTGCATCCATTGGTTCGGCCTTCGAGTCGGAAGCACGGGTAGCGCAGTCGTCTATGGAGCCGCAATATATGTTGTCGACAGTAACATACAGGTCAGTGTGTAAACATCGCTTTTCTTCTCTGCCGAGACGCACGTAGAGGACCACAGTTTGTTGACACTGCTTGGAGGTACGCCGTAGAAACCTAGGATTGTGGGTTCGAATCCCGGTTCGCCCCGATTATGTTTCTATAGGTTTGTCTTCACCATACCCGTGCTCGTGGGTTTCACTTCTAAGACCTGCATCACTTCGGAGTACTGTCCTCACACAATAAGCTGACATGCCGCGATATAACTGGAATATTGTTAGAAGCGGCGCTAAACCCAACTCACGAAACCGCATTATCGGTGGTTCGAGAAGGGAGCTAACTCCGTTTGCCTAATCGAAAGTTCGAGGTGGGCCCACATTCGAAACTAAACGCACTTGTTGTGAGAATATATACTACGTAAACAAACCCGCATAACGAACTCATAATTTGTCTATTTAAAATAAGTATTATGACTTATAATTGGATTAAAATGTACAAATAAGATGGCAATACAGCAGAACTCACTTCTACGAACATCGCCAAACTAGGTCGTTGGGTTATTAATATTCATGAGTTAGGCCTATTCCTTTTATGGAACAAGTTCTCGGAAACGTCTGAGGCTTGTATCATGTCCGAGATCAATTCAAGTGTAGACATATGTTCAGGCTTATATCGCCACCAACACTTATGATTAGATTGGTGTGTTATACTGGAAAAGGTAGAATGAGTGGTATTGCCTCTGTAATTTTAATTTGAAGTAGATTTAAGTTTCTTGCTTGGTAGCTATTTTCGTAAAACTAGTGTGGTCAGCTATGACGCAGTTATTCAAACTTCAAAGACTTTTGTGCCTTTTATGGAATTAATGTCACACGAAATGATTTATAAAGATATTTCCCATCAATATTACAAAATATGAATAATATAAAATGTCACATAATGACAAACGTGAGCCCAATAGCCTAAATGACTTCGTCAACCTCATGAAACCCAGCGATTTAAAAATGTGGGCCCACCTGTTTCGATCACTATAAGACGGGAACAATGTGGGCCCACATTTTAGAAAATGGTTATAAGTAAGCAAAGCTAATGAAGCTAGCGATTTTTTAATGTGGTCCCTCCTTTTGCAATCACTATGACGGAAGAACGTCTACCCACTAGGCGATATACAAATGTGGGCCCACTTGTTTCGATCACCATATATGACGGGAACATTGTGGGCCCACATTTGAGAAAATGATTATCAATATTTAAGTAGAATTTCGCGATGAATAAATGTGGTCCCTCCTGTTGCAATCAATATGACGGAAGAACGTCTGCCCACATTTGGGGATTGATTATCAGAACTAACGAAACAACCTAACGAAGCTAGGCGAAATACAAATGTGGGCCCACTTGTTTCGATCACCATAGATGACGGGAAAAATGTGGGCCCACATTTTAGAAAATGGTTATCACCACTAAACCAATCTTAGAAGATGTACTGATGGAAACATAAATATATAATGCATTCAAACATTTAATTACCTTACGTTTTACCTTAGGGATAAGCTGGGCATTTAATAGCTGGACCAACAACGTGCAGCGTGGGTGACGCCATTTCTCGCAAATACGAAAACAACGGAGATAGCTCCCGTTTGAAATTAGAGTGACCTCCCTTTCCCAATATGAACCACTGATAATGCGGTTTCACTCACTCACTCGGCTATCGAGTCAAGGCCAAGAGGCTTGAAGAACTCCAAAGAAGGGTCATTTTCTTGAGGCGGACTACTTCAAAGTGATCCCCTCCACTTAACTATAACAACGACCTTTGCACTTGTATTTGTACACATATATCTTCTCCCCTGGCACTGACTGACGAAGCTTAAAGGGGAAGTGTACACGCAAAAATCACTTTCTTTCTTTTTCTAAACAAAACGCAATTTTAGAATTAATTAGTATCTGTGTTTGAAAATATACACTCATTTTTTTCACAGTGAACGTAGGAAGCTCACAATAGTGTGAAAATGATATGCCGTTATGAGGCCTTCGTTTTTCGAGCTAAACAGGCCTGAGTTATCCCCCTTAGATTATGACGTAATTGGTGCCAATTCAACTGGGTCCCTGTCTATTCTCAACGCAAAAGATATCAAGTACCAGTTTGCGGTAAAACAACATGGCCTACGACACACTCCGGCGCAGTGGTGACTCAGCATAACACTATGCTGGCTGGCATCTGAGACGCTAGAATCACACACCTGACCTACACCACGTGAAGCGGCTCTAACAAAGTATGATGACGTCATAATGTTTATCAATTGGCACCAATGACGTCATATTGCAAGGGGCATAAGCCATGGTGTTTTTGTTGTGGAAATAGAACACTTGATAAATGTGAAAAATATAAATCGTTTTAATGCGAAAAATATGTTAATTAATTGTGATATTTTTATATTTTTGTCTATGACACTTCTATGTTAACACTTTTAATGTGGAAAAAGTACAAGAAAAATAGGTTCATTTCCGTGTGAACTTGCCCTTTAAGTTGGCATGCAGGTTACTGCTTAAGAAGGTTATATCACACGTCGTCCGAAAGCTAAATTATTGCGGCGCGCGCGGCGTAAAACAACAATGTAAACAGTAATTATACAGCACATGCAGCGTGTTAGCTAAATGTTGAAGGAACGTAGAAGTGATGCAGATCTCAGACGTTTACCACTTTGGAGAACCCAAAAGCAAGGGTGTGGTGCTATCAAACCAAGAAACATAATCAAGGCGAATCCAGGATTCGAACACATATATATATAGGTTCATTTTCGGCACTGCAGTGCATGCATGCCGAATTGCGGCGCCTTGTCTCGACGACTGTTAAAAGTAATGTTTTAGCGAGTGCTTATATCTGGTGTACATATGTATTTTTATTAGTGTTTCTAAACGGGAGTCTATTTTGCTCATCATTTTCGGATTAATATCTCTCCCTTCTATAACGACAAACGAGCTGAAGTAAAACGAATCGCGATCACGAACGTGCGCTATAACGAGGTGATGGTAAAAACGAGCTCGTGGATAACTGTTCGGTGACCAGTAGATCTATCCGAAAACAAAATATGCACAACAATTTGTTAGATGCATGTACGCATAACTACACTCTGTTATTTCCAGTAAATTGGTATTCAGCGCCACGCGAAGTGAACTCTGAACTTTGTCACGAGTGACCTCGCATTCGAGAAAGCTCGAAGGGACAGGACAGAAGGCAAATTGTTGGTGCAGCAGACAGCTCGCGGTTTCACTCGAAGAAAGTTGACATACAGATCTGAAAAATGGCAGAAGCAGATTCAGATAGAACTGTCGTCATCGCTATGGACGGGAGCAAACACTCCGACGAAGCATTTCAATGTAAGTAGCAGCGTGCACTTCAGCTACGGACTGTGACGATTTCAGTGTAGTTATTGTTCGCCATGTAAAAATGTCAGGCTAACCATCTTTCACCATCTACGCGGCGTCCATTGTGCGCTAGATAGATCTACACGTATAAATTGTCGTGTTGAATAGAAACTATCTTTGCAAATATCGATTTGCCAACGTAGACCACTATATTAATTATTGAAAATTGTGATTCGAAGTAGGTGTGCCGGTGCTGAGGTAAAATGTTCCCTATGAAATAACGTATTTGTCACGCATTCAGTCACTGATCGTTCCGTGAGGTATATCACCAGCTGATCACTGGTGATTGTGTACCTTCAAGAAGCACCACAATCTTTTTTATTTGTATGAGCATCTTAGGTACATAATAATAGATTTGGGAAATAAAGAATGTGTCTGCATGGTCACAGCATATATCCTATGCTAGTAAGCACTAGCTAAAATGAGGATCAGGAGGCCACAATGTGTAACATGTTGTGTTTATTTGTTGTTTAACACCTCACTCAGCAATGTTTCAGCTATATGATGGCGGTCTGTAAATAATCGAGTCTGAACCAGACAATCCGGTGATTGACAATAGAATCGATCTACGCAATTGCATCAGGATGACATGCATCATCCAAGTCAGCGAGTCTGACCACCCGATCCCGATCCTGATCCCGATCCCAATCCCATTAGTCATCTCTTACGACAAGTATAGTTGTCTTTTACAGCAAGCATGGGTCGCTGAAGAGCCATTCTAAGCGGGGTCTTCATGGGTATAACATGCTGTTATCTTGCCTGGTTTGTTGCCAACTAGAAGTCCTGTCCCTGACAGACATAGTCAGAAGCTGGTGTACAATACCTGGAATAGATCTGGTATAAAACATTTACTCATTCCAGTCAATCATGTGAAAACCACACCTTAAAACTACTAAGGTCAGTCCTGATAAGCACAATCACAAGAATTTGAAGGTGTGATTGAAACAGTGAAATTGTATGCCTTTCTTACAATCATATATCCCTCTCTTTATACTGAAAGAAAAAAAGTTACGGTTCTAGGGTCAGGATCATGAAATATTTTTATATGTGAAACATCATTTTATGTGCTCAGTCTTGACTACAAAAAATATTCCCGCCAATATTCATGATCCCTAACCTTTTTTTTACAATTTATTTACTAAAGGGACGTTGATGTTTGTTTTTTGTTTAACACCGCACTCAACAATATTCCAGCTATATGACAGCGGTCTGTAAAATAATCAAGTCTGGACCAGACAATCCAGTGATTGACATCATGAGCATCGATCCATGCAATAGGGATCAATGACATGTATCAACCAATTCAGCGAGCCTGACCACCCGATCGCGTTAGTCGCCTTTTACGACAAGCATAGTCGCGTTTTACGGCAAGTATATGGGTTGCTGAAGACCTATTCTACCCGGTTCGATTCCCGACATGGGAACAATGTGTGAAACCCATTTCTGGTGTTCCCCGCCGTGATATTGCTGGAATATTGCTAAAAGAAGTGTAAAACCATACTCACTCACTCACAATATTGTCCTTTGGGGGCAATTTGCTTGGACAGTAAATGTATATTTGGTGCATAAAAATGATAAGAACTGTACTTGTATCAATAGCTTGAAACATATTTTGTGTTCATTTGTAGTTTAGATATTTTGCAATAACAGTTGTTCTGAATTTACATTTGAAAAAAACATGCACTACAAAGGTGACAGTATGGCACAACAACCACAATAAGACGTATTCATTTTATATTTTTGAATTGCCTGAAAAGGCACATCATCTTTTATCTTTTATCTCTTTGCTCTTTATTTTCAATGCCATGCTTGCATCAAAGCAAAATAAACATAAAACAAACAGGGTTGTGAGTATCCACTGGGACTGAAAAATATTGTCTTCATGTGGCCTTAGAATGATAATTTACCTTTGATGTATTCAGAAAGAGATGAAAAATAATAATGATAATATTGAAATTAAGAATGTGAGATTAATTTTCAGTTAGTCTCTTCCGTGTGAATGCATTCATAAAGCCTGAATTTAATGCATGCCACATCTAAATGATGTGCAGAATATTATAGTGGCATATAGACTGGTCCCTATTAAGGGAAATAGGATTAAATCAGATCCTAAAATACAGAAACAACAGCTACTTAGCCATAATTACTTTTCTCCTTGTTCAATTGTTCAGTGTATTTCTAAAGTAAGTTAAAATGCTTGTAAAAATTTCAGCATTGGCATAAGGAGAAAACAATGCATTAAGTTTGCTTCATTATTCTTACTTCTTACTTATAAGAAACCAAACAAGCACTAACTATTCTACAAAAATAATAAATCTGTGTAACAGAGAGGGATGTTTGATTGTTTAAATGACATATAATTTCATTGTTTTTATCAAACCTTTAGATTTCTGTGGCACAATGAAGTAAGAAGTAGCCATTTACATATTTTTAGAGATGGAGATTTAAAAACAACATCCTACCTTCAGGTGTAATGGGGATACAAATCTGTAAACCATGTCACTAAACAGGTCTGGCTTAAAGTGTGATGTACATATTGTAGAGAGAGGACAGAGTGGAATAAGGGGCCTTTTTTGACCAACAGGATCTGTGTAATTTAAGAATACAGCAACTTTAGAAATTGTTATGAAAATTATCAGATGTGTTCATGTGAATGAGAATTAGACATTGTTCATTTCAACAATTGGTATGTTTGGGACAAATGACAAGAAGAAATGAGTAGGTGAGGCTTAAAAGGGTAAAAAAGGCTGACTTTAGAGGTTTTCATGAAGTGTTTTCTGATATTTGAACATAAACAAGTCTTTGACCCAGGTTGGTTTTCAAAGCTAATTTAGATACAATCAGTACAAACATATATAATAAAAGTCATCTTATTTACAGAGTTGCTAATTCTCAGATTTTCATTTGAAGCTCAAAATATATACTCTTTTTTTACTTGTTTTAGCTATGCTTCTGTAAGACTTACAAGTGTAAAAAAGAAAAAAGGCTAGCTGTCAGCTATTGTCTGATAATTTTCGATAACAATATTTCAACATTTTCCTGAAACTTTAAAATTTTACATTTCCAATGGTCCAAAAAGGGTCCTTATAATACTTCATCCTTTCTCTTGAATCAGTTGCATACTCTAGCGAAAGATAATGCTTATTGAGCAGGTGGTAAATAAATGAATATGATGAATAACGAATGAGAACAGTTTCTATTGTAAATTGCACTGTTATAACTTCCCATGTAACTTGTCTTGACCCACATGTACATTGTCAGATCCTCGAAGATGTATTGTGTGGCCCCACTTCCTGGTCTGCTTGACTGACAGAGGTTGATGTCAGAGGAAGCTTGACAGATGTCATGTACATTAGCCAAGCAAGATTAATGTCATTTCAAGTTTATTTCATTACAAGATTATTCCACGACAAGTTTATTACATTTCAGGTACATTTCATAACATAGTTATTTCATTACAGTACGAGACCTTACACTAGTTACAGGTCTAAGGGAGAAAAACAAACCAAATGATAATTATTTGTTTGTCCTATTTGATTGGCATGGGTTGAAATTCTAAAACTCTGAAATGTATCAGGGTTTGAGTGAATGTGAAATAGAGCTTCTTCCTTAAAGTGGCCCAGTCATCTAAAGCACTGCAGTTCGCTGGTAAGAGTTGCGTCCCTTGCATGCCAGAAATCTCTGATTGTCGGTTTGAATCCTGGTTTGCCCCGATTATTTTTCTATACCCTTGCTCATGGGTTTCGCAAAAGTGGTAAACATTTGGATCACTTTGGGCTTTCCTCCAACATTAATCTGACACGCCTTGATAAAATTTGAATACTGTTGAAAGAGGAATTAAACCCAACCGACTCACCTCACTCACTCACTCACTCACTCACTCACTCACTCATTCATTCATATGTGCATGAAAATTATGAGTGGACTCGAATAAAATCAGTGAGAATCCCACTGGATGCATATAAGTATGAATGTTGGAATGACTAAAACTTATTAAATTGAAGTATGTACGTAAGATCTTATTTTATTCAACAGATGTATACAGTTGCGGGTAATCAAGCACTAGCCGAGTCTTACCCGAGTCCATATGTTTGGGCCTGTTGAAGCCTTACAGTAGGGAATAAGGGCAATCGATGTTTGGACAGTCATTGTCAGATTTTCACCCTATCACTGTTTTGATTCAAACGAGGAATCAGCCATCTATAATAAGCATAAGGCATCACATATACATTGTATGATGGAGAGTTCCCACAACTGGCAAATAAATAGACCAAGGTAAATCCCTGCTGTATCTCAAAAGCAAAGCCTTAAGGACAATTTCATGAAGGCTTTTATTAGAAATGTTCTTCTTAGTTCTAAAGCACAGTCTGAGATAGATGTATGAAACTATGATTGTTTTGTCATTTCAGGGTATATGAAGAATATTTACAGAAAGAAGGACCATGTGATCTTTGTGCATTGCCCAGAGTACCACACAATTATACAGTCACGTACGTATCATCTTTGACTACTTTAAGCATGAACACATTGCATATTTAACATATCATTGTCTGTGACATTTATTCTCCACACGTTTTCTGTACCCTAGTCGCTGATACAGTGTAGTCAATGTTTCACTGAAACTTAGGTGGTGGTGACACGTTTATGTATATTGTGTTTAAAGCAATTTATTATCTTTTTTTTAATACTGGTACTGGTATGTGCACAGCTGGTGACATATGATTGAAGACATAGAGTTGTCCATTGTTTGCTCAGCTGGTCACAGTATCACGTTTTGTCCAACATCCCATTCATTCTCTGTGTATGTCTGTCCTTTCAATTTTAGCTCACCTGACTGAGAGTGAATAAGCTTTGTTTTGGCACATTGTTTGTCATCCAGTTGTCTGTCAGTCATTAACTTTAGCATTTTCCACATCTCTTCTGAAACTACAAGGACTGCATGTAGCTGAAACTTTGAATATATTATCACAGCTATATTATCTCGTAAAAGTGCTCACAGAATTCCAGTCCAATTTTGGCCAGCCATTTCTGCATGTATTATAATGAAACAGCAAGTACAATATTTCAAATTAAATAATACATTTTTGGCATATTATGACCTTTGATCCAGCTATGACATTTGACCTTATTCTAGTGTTTCTGCATCTGCTGAAACCACAAGGCCCATAAAGCTGAAACTTTGTTTGAATGATTTTAGTTATGGTGCCTCTAAGAAGTGCTCACAGGATTTTGATCTGATGATAAACATGCCACAATGACAGCCATATTTAGTTGGGCCTAACATGCATATGTTCCATTTTGGGCAATATTATTATCCCCTGTCACAAAGGGGGGCTGGGGATATAGAAACAGAGTTTGTCTGTCCATCTTTCTTTCTGTCCCTCCGATTCTCAATGGGGACACGTTTTCAAAAAACAATTTAATTAGAGAAATAAAATTTTACACATGGATGTTATTGGTCATGATCTCAAATGAGTTCAAAAATTGGTGTCCTAGATTAATTTTGACAGAGTTGTGGCCCTTGCTTCATGCTTTTCAACTTGGTGCAGACTGCATGAAATAGGGACACATTTTCTAAGAAAAATATTTTAGTTAGAGCAACGACATTTTGCACACTGAAGTTACTGGTCATGAACTCATATGAGTTCGAAAACTGGTGTCACATTTAATCGTTTGTTCTGATGACATAAAGCAACCCTAGTGCTAGTGCCTATCTGTTCTTAAGGCTTTATAGGACTCTTTTTTAATAGTTTATGTATTTACTACTGTATGAACAAACAAAATTCTAATGTGCCCCATGGCGGGGGGATAGTGATAACGTTTTCTTGTTCATTTTGACTTTGATTCAACCTTTTCAGCATAATAAATAGGTAGTTTGTATCACAAAAGTGAAAATATTGTCCAGGGCAATGAAAATTTCAGGGTGGTGCTAAAAGGAAAATTCATGTCAGACCCCAAACTAGCCTGACACCAAATTATCTAAATGCATGCACGTCACTTTTATATGAGTGAAATAATCTTGTGTCAAGTCTTGGCGGAGAAGGTGACTCTAATGGTCACAGGTACACTTGGTATGAGCAGATCCAGCATCATAATCCCCAGCGACTACATTATTAGTCCCGTTCCGTCCGTCTGAGCTTTTGTACGGCCCATAAGTTTTTAACCATGCACCCTAGCTTCACCAAACTTGCTACACACATTGACCACAATGAGTACTTGTGCCTTTTGCTAGTTTGAAGATTCTGAACTTTAAAATTTTTGCCGTTTCCATGGAAACATTAGAAACGTAAACTTTTAGGGTGGGTGTTTTGTACGGCCCATATCTTTTTAACCATGCACCCTAGCTTCACCAAACTTGCTACACACATTTACCACATTGAGTGCTTGTGCCTTTTGCTAGTTTGAAGATTCTGAATTTTTTATTTTTGCCGTTTCTATGGAATCATGGTGAAACATAAATTTTGGGTAGAGTTTTTGTACGATCCATGTTTACAATATTATGTATCCTAGATTCAGCAAACTTGCTACATTAACCACTATGATTGTTTTTTTATCTTTTATAAGATTCTGAAAGTTTTCTCTTTTGCTGTTTTCATGGAAACATGATGGAATTTAGACATTTTTATGACTGGTTTTGTATAGCTAATATATTTTCCAAAATTGTTTCCACACATGTAGATCATCATAAGTATCTGTGCTTTGTGTTAGTTTGAATTTATGAATTCTTTACCATATCTGTTAAGGCTAGATGGAAATTATTCATTTATTGATTTTCTTATATGATATTGTTCCATTTTTTATGTGTTTTTATATCAAAATGTTTTGGTCCTTTTGATAATTCTTCTTATTTAACTCCTCAATCAAATTTTTATTCAAAGGTGTTCATTGTGATCTACTTCCTCGTAGTGAACACTGGTAACATGGGAGATTTGGTTGGGGGGGGGAGGGGGTCAATTGTCACTGGAACTCAATCTTAGTTTTTAAAACATTGAAGTTAAAATCAGTTAGAAATATGTAATATTTCTTTAATTAACAAACTATTTACTATTTGTTGTTGACCAGCGGAGATAATGGGGGTATGTGAGCTTTGCTCACTTCTTTCTTGTTCACCATGCACATCCCTGTCCTTGTATGTCAGATAAAGTCATCCCATGACAAGTTTTATGATGGTTTTTTATGGTACTATCCAAGTTTGTTGTCATCTTCAGCGATGGTGATGGCGGATGTGACTGTACTGACTGACCTGTACAGGGACGAGGAGAGGAAGGTGAAGGAGTTCCTTGAAACCCTGGGGCAGAAGCTGAAGGATGCTGGGGTGAGTGCTGGGGAGTTGGGAGGGGAATTAAGACAATGAGGGATAAGGTGAGGGAAGGGTAGTGTGCAGGGGTGGGTGGGGAGAGGTGGTGTGTGGGGGTGGGTGGGGAGAGGTGGTGGGTGGGAAGAGGTAGTGGGTGGGTGGGGAGAGGTGGTGGGTGGGAAGAGGTAGTGTGTGGGGGTGGAGAGGTGGTGTGTGGGGCTGGGTGGGGAGAGGTGGTGTGAGGGGGTGTGTGGGAAGAGGTAGTGTGTGGGGGTGGGGGTGGAGAGGTAGTCTGTGGGGGTGGGTGGGGAGAGGTAGTCTGTGGGGGTGGATGGGGAGAGGTAGTGTTGGGGTGGGTGGGGAGAGGTAGTGTGTGGGTGTGGGTGGGGAGAGGTAGTCTGTGGGGGTGGGTGGGAAGAGGAAGTCTTTGGGGGTGGGTGGGGAGAGGTAGTGTGTGGGGGTGGGTGGGGAGGGGAATTAAGACACCGAAGGATGAGGGATAAGGTGAGGGAAGGGTAGTGTGCAGGGAAAGGAAGGGAGGGGTAGTGGGTGGGGAGGGGAATTAAGAAACTGAAAGATGAGGGATAAGGTTAGGAAAGGATAGTGGAAGGGGAGGAGAGGGGAATAATAAGGTTCCCCCAGATATCCTAGGAAAAAGCCTTAAGGAGGAATTAAGATAACCCCTGCAAAGAAACTGAAGGATGATTTAGGGATAAGGTTAGGGATGGGTAGTGTGTGTGGATGGGTTGGGAAGGAATATGTGCCCCTTTGGATGAAACTTGTGGTGACCTTGTTTTCAGGGAAACTTAATGATAACAGAAACTGGGGGTTAGTGTAGATCAATCACTGGCATTGGGCTATCATGAAACCATCTCAGAGTCTTTGCCTGGGGAGCATCCTGTGTTCATACTACTGGGGACATTCAGTGTATGTTAAAGCTGAAAGGATGCTGGGGTGAGAACTGTTAGTGAGGGGTTGGGCGAGGAATTAGGGTGCTCCTTTGGAAGAAACTTAAAGGATAGTGGGGTGAGTGAGTGAATATTGTTTTATGCTGCTTTTAGCAATATTCCAGCAACATCACTGCGGGGGACACCAGAAATGGGCTTCACACATTGTACCCATGTGGGGAATCCAACCCCACCCATAACCCGGGTGAAACTGTAAGGATGCTGGAATGACAACTGTAAGGGAGGGGTTGGGTGGATGTGTGTGAGTGTGTGTGTGTGTGTGTGGGGGGGGGGGGGGGGCTTGGGAGTGCCCCTAGGGAAGACACTGAATACTGGTGTGAAATCAGGTTAGGAAGGGGGAAGGGACTATGAGTCTATGAGCCTTTTTTTAAGAAAAACACATTGGTACAATGTATTTTTTGTCGCAGCCAATTCTTTTTATTTTCAACAGTCTGAAGCAAAACTACTTTTTTGAAGAATTTTTAGGGACAATATGTTTGTTTTTCGATACAATCCCAGACCCCTGAGAATATCAAGTGGGAATTTCAGTGGGAAATAGAAAATACTTGTTGTTTTGTTTATAGTCTTTTATGAACTTATGATTTGAAACCTGATCTCATCTTTGATATCCAACCATCATTATATCACCACAACTCGACCTCCACATATAAATAAATTGACATAGTATAGAGAAGAGTAGTAAATATTGCAGTTAACTTTCAGATCGGAGGTAGAATTAAGAGTGTCGGAGGCAGCCCTGGGGAGGTCGTGTGTCAAGTCGCAGATGAGGAGAAGGCGAGTCTCATTGTGACAGGTACACGCGGTATGGGGCAGATCAGACGTACATTTGTGGGCAGCGTCAGTGACTACATCATTCACCATGCACATGTACCTGTCGTTGTATGTCGGCTGAAGGGCGCCCATGACAAACATGACCATTAACAGCTCCACTGCCTGAAGTTGAAGCCTCCAGTAGAGACTGACGTCATCAGTTGATACCGTACATGGACTCAGTTATCAAACACATTGTGGCCTTAAAGCAAACTCCATGCTGTTTTGTGTTACCCTGATAGTGATCAACTGGAGAAAGTGATTCTTCATATTAATTGGTTCTGCTTGATAAATAATCATGGAGCTGTAAAAATTATTGAAAATATTTGCCTTATTCTTCCAAATAGCATTTTAAGTTTAAGCCATCCTTTAGTTTACATTAAATTTACATACATTTGCAAAGAGTTGAATATTTGAACCTTTTGTGATTCATTTGAGACCACACAAACATAATTCTAGGCTTAAGTTGGTTTTGGTCACATGACAGTGTTGAATGTCTCAAGATATGTCTCCAAATTAGGGCATAATGTCATAAACAAATGCCTGTCAAACCTTTTACCTTTAATCACTTTTCAGAAGTGTTAAGGACAAGATGTAATGACTTGTTAACTTCACATCAATTGTGTTCATGTACATCTCTTTATTATTCAGCAGGTAATACTAAATCAGAGATACAGTATTATCAGCATAGAAGGTGTGAGATTTTGTTTAATAACTTGACTTGAAAACATTCCTGGACCAGACCAAATTTCGATGAATGCAATTTTCACATATTAATCAGAATTTTCATGTAGTTTAGTTCAATTTTATTTGGTTCCTCTATGCTCGTACTTACTTCCTGTCTCAACAGGTTGCTCAACGTAAAATCAAAAAGATCTCATATTCAAGTATTAAGGTTTTTGGTGTCCTTTTATTATTACTCATATAATCAAGTCATTTACTCTCTCTCAATTACTCCATTTGAACTTACATAACAGAAGTGGATGTGCCTGGTTTGTTTGTTTGTTTGTTGTGTAACGCCGCACTCAGCAATATTCAAGCTATATGATAGCGGTCTGTAAATAATCGAGTCTGGACCAGACAATGCAGTGTTTGACAACATGAGCATCGATCATCACAATTGGGATCGATGACATGCTTCAATCAAGTCAGCGAGTCTGACCAACCGATCCCTTTAGTCGCCTCTTACGACAAACATAGTCACCTATTACGGATGTGCATGGTACGTAGGTGCATGAATATTTTAGCCCACTAGACAAATGCTAGTGAAATGTGACTCAGACTAGCTATTCTGTAATTGTGTTTTCAAGGTGGGTAGCAAATCAAGAGAGATATTTGCCAGAATGTGTCTTGTCGCTCCAGCCCTTTAGTATTTGCTTGGATAATCATGCACCTTGTTAATATTACAAATGAGGACCAAAACAATTTGTTCATCAGAAGATAAACTTGTTATATTAGGAAAAGGTTTTGTTTATACTGCCAGACCAATACTGTTGACCAGACAAATCAACAAATGAATAACAACTAGTGGACATTTTATTGGAAATGTTTGTGAAATGTTATATTCTGATAAACAGGTTATTGATTTGCAGTTAACATGTTTAAGTGCCAGTTCAATTGGGACAGCTGTTCATTTTAATGAATATCAATTATCAAAATTGTTATTGTATGCGGTGGCCTATGATAATCAGAAGTCATTGATTAAACTGTTTGCAGGAACAGATACATTGTTGTGTTTTATTTACATACACGTATCTTCTGAACATGTCAATATCATATTCTACAAACGTTCTACATACATGTATCTATATGGCTAAAGACTGCCTCCATAGTCGAGTGGATAGAGCATCTGATTTGAGCGCTGAATGTCGGTGGTTCCACAAGATGTTAAAAGATGGTACTTGTTGTTACCCTGCCTGGCAAATGGTATGATGGGGATAGAACAAGTACTGGTTGGCTCGGAATCAGTTTACTGTGTTGTGAGTGGGGTATCCATGTTGAAGCGCGGCATACACAACATTATTTGTTTGTTTGTTGTTTAATGCCGCACTCGGCAATATTAAACCCCACTGACCTCACCTACATGGACACAACTAACTTTTTGTTCCAACACAATTCAATATTGCTCTCATCACAATACATTTAAATGAAATACTAGCAGCTATCTGTAATATGTAAGTGTGAAATAGTTGAATATCCAGTTTTATTTACCACATGACCATTGCAGAAGATCTGTACAAGTAAGAGTTTCATACATACACTGACCTCTATAAAAGTAAAGGTGAATGTCCTGGCATGTGATAGGCGACCCTTAAAGGTCAATACCACTATATAGTTATGAAATAACCTTACAAACAGCTTTTGATCACTTTGGCTTTTTTTTAAGAACAATCACAAAGCTAGGTATATAATTCTTCTCAGGCAAGTTCCCTGGATTTTGATTGACTTCTTTGACAGGTCAATGTCACAGTGCATAAAGGCAATTAAGTATTTGTAATTAAAATCAGATATTTTATTCAATATGATAGATACCTGCCTGAAAATCGCAAACACACACACACACACCGTAAGAAGATGATTTTTTGTTCAATCAGCCAATCAATGTCAAGTCTTGTAAATACAGACCAGCATTTCTAATTTATCTCTCTTGAAAATAAACTTATGTAGTCATTTCTGAGGGTAAATTATGATGGAGCATTGTGTATTTTTTCATTCAACCTGTCATTTCTGAGGATCAGCGTGCCTACACCTTAAAAGGAGTACCATCAAAGGAATATTATGTTCTCTGTGTTATAATTTGACTTATTTACCACGGAAATATGGTAAAGAAATTAATGGAGACAATTGTTTTAGAAATCTGAAATTTGTTCTGATAATTTGTCATTAGATTGGACTTTGAATTTTATGCAGCTTCAATGCAGGAACTGTTTGTACTTTGTATATAATATCTGAAGTGCAGCTTCACCAGTACAATTCCTGGTCAAGTATCTCAGCCTGTGTTTAAATAAGCCCTTCTGGTAATTGAGGTTATACAAAATTAACAACTTGCCCTACTGCACGCTACCTGTCAATTTAGGTCATTATTGATTCAACGCACCATCAGGAATATATTGCAGATGCCCAACCACCACTCACACACACACACACTCCCAATAGAACATTATCTCAATATCCTAATTCTCAAATAGCCTAATGTCTGTTATATGTTTTGCCTGGTGAATGACTGGTTTACAACAATGGACATGTTAGGTCCTTTACTTTCACCTTCATATATCGCAGTGAAGAAGAATGTCACTTCAACAACTTTGTGAGTCATGGATAATATATATAAGCATGACATCATACATGCACTCAGCTAGCTTGTAGATCACTGTGTGATCAAGGCTATGTTTATTGTTAAAAAAGAACAAGCTTCACCCTGTCTACTCCCCAGGAAGAGACCTGTGAAGATCGGGGTAGAATAGGTCTTCAGTAACCCATGCTTGCCGTAAAAGGCGACTATGCTTGTCGTAAAAGGCGACTAACGTGGTCTGGTGGTCAGGCTTGCTGACTTGATTGATACATGGCATCGGTCCCAATTGTGTGGATCGATGCTCATGATATTAATCACTGGATTGTCTAGTCCAGACTCGATTATTTACAGACTGCCGTCATATAGCTGGAATATTGCTGAGTGCGGCTTTAAAAAAACAACCAACCAACCAACCCCAGGTAGAATAACATCAAGTCTCTGAAATGAACATATTTTACAGATAAAAATACGGAAGAAAATTTATGGATGTCAACCTTTTTATTATGAGGAAATCATCTGTTGGCTTCCCTTGTTAGTTTCCACCCCTTGTTTGTTTCCACCTTTTGTTATCTTATCAATTTTGTTGTCCTTACATGTACATATATATGCTCTCTGCCTCATGGTATTCACTCACCTGATGAAGGAGTAAGCATGTACTCCAAAACATTTTGTTCCTCATAATAAAGAACTTGACATCCATAAATTCTCGTCCTTATTCACTTCTAAATGGCTTCAAAGACCAGATAAAAATAGTTCTTACATTACAGTTATGAAATATAATAAAAAGGAGCCAAGAGACTCTCTTCATTTTCAGATACTGCAGTATTCTAAACTTGCCAAATATTGTAGACTTGCATAGGCTGTATTGGATATATTTGTTTTAGGGTCTGTATGACGACTACTCCCCAGGGTGTGTTATATGATGCAAGGATGGCTTGATTGGACAGTTACCCCTTTCCAATTTGCTGGGCTGTGCTTTTATTTATTGGTCGGGTAGCATGCCCTTCAAGATTATTTGTTTGTGTACTATATCTGTAAAAACTATCCCGCCCCCTTATGAAAATGCACTTTCATACAAATGTGACATTTGCCAAGTATATTGATAAGATTTGTTTGTTGTTAGACGCCGCACTCAGCACTATTCCAGCTATATGATGGCTGTCTGTAAATAATCGATTCTGGACCAGACAATCAAGTGATTGACATCATGAGCATCAATCCACACAATTGAGATCGATGACATGCATCAACCAAGTCAGCGAGCCTGACCAGTCCATACCCTCAGTAGCCTGTTAAAAGCATAGTCACCTGTTGTAGCAAGCATGGGTTGCTTATATATTGATTAGAAATGAAATGGTATGAAATTTGATTTTGAGGGTTGATAGTTAGGATATTTCCACCACCACAGTCTCACGTGATCATGTATTAAGGAATATTTTGATAAACTTGAACTTATATGAATTTCAACAACTTGTTTTTTTATTTGGAAGAAGAATTTAGGGCTTATGTCATTTCAACATCCCTTCAGGTAACAGACGCATCTGAATCTAGGAAAAAACATACACCAAGATGTTATTTATGTTTACATTGAAGAGAGATAAAGATACAAGCGAAGAAATTCAGACAATTTCTGTTCTGTACATATCCAGCTAAAGCGATGATTTGATTACATGGGATTCAATAATTACATTGCAAATAACAGCCTATAGCAGAGTCAGTAAGTACATTAGACATAATAAAGCTATGGAATACGATTATACCGATATGACTATCTTATTGACTTTATCGATTTGATGGGACCTCTCCTTGGTAATAGCAAGCCATGCTTGTCTTGCCCATATAAAGGAACACTTGAGTCAGTTGATCCTATTGCCCTGTTACCATGGTTACAATATTTACCTTACGGAGGATTCTTAACCCAAATTGGAGAGCGTCAACACAACTCTTGTTGTTTATCGGCCATGTTCCACACACCTCACAATCGGAAGTGACGTGTCTCAACAACGTATAAAAGGGTAAAACATCAAAGCCGTCTACCAAAGGGAAAATACTATCGACATACCAATCAGCTTCCATCTGCTGTGATATTTACTAATGCCCAATCAATCTTCTATGCATCACCAAGTAGATTGATGTAACGGAACCCGACAAGATCCTGGTGCTAAACCAACGAACATGACCTGACCTGTGCCTGAATAAAACTGAATAGTCGTGTTTGTTTTTGCAGACAACTTGAACGCGCAGATCTTTCTAAATCACTCAGGAAGAAGAACGCAGTATTAACGATATTTTGATAGTCGGAAAACGTTTTCAGCGTCCTGTCCTAAGGACACTCGATGAACGTGTCAAAAGATTTCTACCGGGACTATATGGTTATATCCTCTTAGACGGCATATCGACTTTATGGCGTCCAAGTCATCGATGTTCCATTGTCTCCGCACTGACTTCTGTGACAGGCAGACCTAGATTGTATTCACATCATTTCCAAGAAGTCTGTCAAGAGATTTTCCGTATTTGTTTGTTTATTTGTTGTTTACCGCCACACTCAGCAATATTCCAGCTATATGACGGCGGTCGGTAAATAATCACGTAGATATCATGAGAATCGATCTACGCAATTGGGATACGAAGACATGCATTAACCAAGTCAGCGAGCCTGACCAGCCGATCCAGTTAGCCGACTCGTACGACAAGCATAGTCGCCTTTTACGGGAAGCATGGGTGGCTGAAGACCTATTCTACCCCGGATCTTCACTGGTATTTTTACCGACACGTGAACACAGATGGGAACTAACAGGCTTCCAGACGACCTCGGCTAACACAACAACTGCCTTTATACGGTAACTGGGGTGTCATTGGGTGTGGACAGCACCCGCAACTCATTCTTACACTTCACCATGAATGCGGAAGGTTATACTTTCCCCGTTACTCGGAACATTCTGACCAGCAAAATACACCCCTATATCTACTGACCACATTCTTCACAGGGAAAGTCCGGCATAACAATGTTTTCTCAGACTGGAGCCCGAGTGACCACGGACAGTTGTAGTGTGTAACCATGTCCAGGCACCTTGGTCGTCTAGGTATACTAAGATATAAGGATAAACATTAAATCCTAGTGATTTTATAGGCGCTTGTCCTGCCACACATGCATTCCATTTGTGGCTGAAGCAAGAACAAACATTAATACACAGGTTAATGTTAATGTTCAATATCGGTACGGGAACTGACCGGACACAAAATGATGCGTCCTATACCAGTTATTTGGGGGTTTTCATTCCACATCACATATCATTTTGAAAGAGAATGAAAATCTGACCCGTTTCTCTGGACAGTTTTTGAAAGAGGTTTGTTGACAATATATTGTGTACACAAAATAATCTGATAACTTAAGTGATAGAGTTCTTACAAAAAATAAAGTTCATTTAATTTCAGTTAACACGGACTATTTGGTTTGGGGTATTCGGTCAACACATGTTAAAGTGAGTAAGTATGGTTTTACGCCGCTTTAAGCAATATTCTAGCAATATCACGGCGGGGGACACCAGAAATGGGCTTCACACATGTCGGGAATCGAACCCGGGTCTTCGGCGTGACGAGAGAACGCTTTAACCACGAGGCTACCCGGCCTCACCAACAACACATATTATTATACACTTAAAATAAAAGTGCCCTAAGCATCTGCTAAGACAGAGTTTATAAAAGTAAAGCACAATAAATAGTTTCTGCTATTTGTCCGACCTATGTCGAATGACGGCACATTTCACCGAAGAAGAAGCTGTTGGAAGAAGCTGAATCAACTGGGGTGTCAAAGTTTATATAATATTTCAGATATTGCATCAACGTTCATGTTACGACCATACATGTACGTTTATATATTGTTCGGAATATAGGTTCGAGCGCCGTAATCAGTAATTGAGTATATGCGAAATACACAGATATGGCTAAATTAGTGAAAAGGCACATTTCACAAGTTCGAATCCGTGACTCGACGTGATCTATTTCATCATATATTGTATTGTTTGTATCTACATTTACGAAATTCAGCATGGGTCAAAGACTTGCTCATGTTCAAATATTTGATAACGCCCCCTGAAAACATCTAAAATCAACCTTTTTTTGTCAGTTTTTATCCTTATCTATGCATTTAGTATTGTCATAAGTCCCATCTCATCGCGATATGATTAAAATGTTTGCTCCCGCATAAGTCCCAAACATACAATTGTTGAAATGAACAACAAAGTCTAGTTTTAGTTTGTTTGTTGTTTAATGCCGCACTCAGCAATATTCCAGCTATATGATGGCGGTCTGTAAATAATCGAGTCTGGAGCAGACAATCCAGTGATTGATATCATGAGCATCGGTACATGCAACTGGGATACGATGACATGCATCAACCAAGTTAGCGAGCTATTGGTTGCTGAAGACCTATGCTACCCCGGATCATTACGGGTGACAAAGTCTAGTTCTCGTTCATGAACACATCTAATAAGTTTCGTAACAATTTCTAAAAGTTTTGCTCTGTTGTTAAATTTTGCTGACCCTGTAGGCCCCAAAGGGTCCTTCATCTCACCTCGCTCTTTCTAATACTATATTACGACATGAGACACCAAGGCTGGGTTTCTCAGATAGTACACCTCTGGGCAATCGAACCTCGGTTTTGGCGTGAAGATCTCTAACATCTAGGCTACTTAACCGCATTTTCGTTATTATGTGATTTAAGTAAAGCGACAAAGACATTTCCATAATCACAAGAAATCTCCATTCTGCGATTCCGACGATATCATGAGCGGGTCTTTAAATATCAAATTCTGCTTAAAATTCCTGCACCAAATTCTGCTTCAAATCCATGCAACCAGCTTGAAATTGTTTGGTCAGAAATCTTACAAGTTTGGGGCCGCTGCACATTGGAACCAACTGTCACTAGAACTGAGCCTATCATCGATCCTTCCATGCATCATTCATTGGACTAAAAACACACCTGTTCCAGAAATACGACGGCCATACATCAGTTGTGTTCTTCATATCATGCATCGGGTTTATCAACTCCGTAGCGCTATGAGCACCAAATGTGAATGGAATTTGGCGCAATACAAATTAAAGTATAAACAATGACTGTCCGCGTGTCCCCCATTGATACTCACGGGCTGTTGTTAAACTATTGCAATGTCATGGTACCGTGAGGTGTAGTGACATTGAGTTTAAAGTTGTGTTCAAAATGATTATACTCATAGAGCGTGTGTGTGACTTTACTAGTCCGGACTTATGCCAGTTTATAGTGCCATATACTGAGGTACCATGTCGCAGTTAAACATGGATACTAGGGCTGGGACGGGTAACTCGGGTACTCGGGTCGGGTGGGTACTCAGTAGGACCAGGGTACCCACAGTACTACCTGGACCCGTGGGTAGTCACGTGATATATTGTTTCATGACAAAAATTCACTATAACTACATTGTTACAGAAGTCACTAATGTTCGCATTTCTTCATGACTATGAACACGTTCCTTCTGGCTTATGTATGTTTGAACATAGCTATAACTTCAGTCAACTTCAGTGCATGCATGACCACATCGTTTTATACGTGTATCTAAATACATTTTGCCAGGGCTACTGTCAAACTATTGCAAATCGGACATTTTGTACCCATCTCTTGACACCAACATCGGGTACCCGGGTAGGGTCGGGCAATAGGGGTGTGGGTACCTGGGTAGTAAATTTGGACTCGCCCCAGCTTGATTATTAAATCAATGATTATCTCACAAGTAAGCCAAGAACCCATTTGAAAACGTTTGTAATGTTTTGGTCAAATCCAATTTTTAAGTGTATACTTTTTTTGCACGGCAGTTTATATGGTCATAAACAGGTTGCATAAATAAAAATCCTGCGCTTACCTAAACGTTAATTTTAAATTTAACGTTTCCGTGAAAAACACAGCAAGGCAAAATATCATTGATAGCCTTCTAGCTTCTTCACAATGAACGTAACGAATTCGAACTTTACTTTGAAAAAGTACGTTTATAGTAGCGCGTAAGCATAGTAGAAACAGCAACAATAGGTGTATTGACTTTTGACGTATCGGTTTGAAATGTATTCTTACCAGTTTGTTGGCATTAATTTGACCTGCATCGAGGCTGTTGCTGAATACTCGTCACGTCTGCTTCCAATCATGGAGTCTAGAACTAACGCGCACTAAAAACTCGTGCAACGGAAGTGAGATCTGATTGGTTAAACCCTTTGTCGTGACGCCACGTGACCGTGGTGGCGAACACCTGCGTGAAATTTACAACGCTTCGTACCTGATTTGACATGTTTATGTAAGTCCAAAACGACGACGCAGCTTCAAAGAGGAAAATGCGCCACGACCTTGCGCCTATTTAGGGACTAATTAGTGAGTGGATTAGTTGAGTTTAACGCCGCTTTGTACAGTTTTTCGGTTATATATGTTGTTTATGAATTGGAGCAACTCTGAGGTAGGATGAATATATCACATAACCATAAACAAGGCTGGACTGTTGACGTCAGTACTTTATTGGGGGCGGTCGGGTTGCCTAGCCTAGTGGTTAAAGCGTTCGCTCTTCACGCCGAAGACCGGGGTTCGATTCCCAACATGGTTACAATGTGTGAAGCCCATTTCTGGTGTCGCCCGCCGTGATATTGCTGGAATATTGCTAAAAGCGGCGTAAAACAATACTCACTCACACAGTCAGTACTTTATTGTGTGGTAATACAGTCAGATAACATTATTACATACATGAATTTCGGTAACATCTTACAAAATATATATTATTCAATGCTGATATAAAAGTACATGTGAAAGACATTGAGACGAATCACCGGAAAAACATATGGCCCCATTTGCCAAACAGACCAACAAGTTCATACATGTTATTGACTGAACATATGACTTTGAATTTAACGGTTGTTAATTGTCAGATTTCACTGCTGTGGGTGCAAATATTTCTTTAGTTGGCACATGCTAAGAGCATAATATGTCTACTAAACGTTTTCAATCTTAAGATATAATTTTACCTCAACATCTGTCATATAACATATTACTAACAATATAATGATATTTTATGTTTCCGGAGTAAGCATATGCCAATAACATAATACGTTAAATCTTAAGAAAGAGTTGCGGCCGGGTAGCTTAGTGGTTAAAGCGTTCGCTCGTCACGCCGAAGACCCTGGTTCGATTCCCGACATGGGTACGATGTGTGAAGCTCATTTCTGATGTCCCCCGCTGGAATTGCTGGAATATTGCTAAAAGCGGCGTAAAAACATACTCACTCACTCAATCTCTTAAGAGAGATATATTACTGAACACGTGTCTTCGCATGCGTAGCACGTGGTTATATTTGTAAACGTTTCGATAAAAGTTTCTGAATGTATAAACTACCAGCCTATGCACACAATTAATCAGCTACCGAAAGCAAATGCACCATGCTTTGGCTAAATATTTATTCCAAGGAAATCGCTTCGTCAGTATGTTATGCCACACTGTCCCGGGGCACAGTACAAGACCAGCTGGGTGGTATCTGTCTGCTTGGCATGCTTGTGCTGTGATCAGTTTGTGTTGGAGACGAGATACGATGACTGGAAGGGATTACGCCGAGACTTGTTATGTTTCCACAAGTCAAAGGGATACACCTGTCTGGGTTCAGACACTTCGTCCAGTCGTGCCATCTGAAATGTATGGGGATCCTATCATTTATCGACCTGCATACCTATCTATTGAAGTTAAATTATTTACAAATGACGTGTAACCTATTCCGAGTGGCCCATATGTTTGACAGTTTCGTAACCAGTTGTTTATGATATAGTCACTAGCAGCCACTAACAAACCTTGGTGGTTAACTTCACATCTGGTTATTATATAGTTGGGATCGCACAATGCAGCAGAGATGTCTTATCGTCACTTGACTCATCATCACTTTATCCTTTCAGCTCATCGTTACCCTTCTCCTCGTGGTAAAACACACATGTGGAACTGAAGCAGGAACGCTTAACAATAAGACCCTGATTTTCATCAAGCCTCTAGCAGCCTCCAGTTTGTCATCCATCTAGCACAGACTCACCTCCTCTGAAGTCAGCGCCCAGCCACTAGCAGCCCCCATGTTGTCATCCATCTGTCACAGATTCACCTCCTCTGAAGACAGCGTCCAACCACTAGCAGCCCCCATGTTGTCATCAATTTGTCACAGACTCACCTCCTCCGAAGTCAGCATCCAGCCACCAGCATCTCCTAGGATGTCATCCATCTGTTACAGACTTATCTCCTCCGAAGTCGGCGTCCAGCCACTAGCAGCCCCCATGTTGTCATCCATCTATCACAGACTCACCTCCTCTGAAGTCAGCGCCCAGCCACTAGCAGCCCCCATGTTGTCATCCATCTGTCACAGACTCACCTCCTCTGAAGACAGCGTCCAGCCACTAGCAGCTCCAAGGTTGTCACCCATCTATCACAGACTCACCTCCTCTGATGACAGCGTCCAGCCACTAGCAGCTCCAAGGTTGTCACCCAGCTGTCACAGACTCACCTCCTCTGATGACAGCGTCCAGCCACTAGCAGCCTCCAGGTTGTCATCCATCTATCACAGACTCACCTCCTCTGATGACAGCGTCCAGCCACTAGCAGCTCCAAGGTTGTCACCCATCTATCACAGACTCACCTCCTCTGATGACAGCGTCCAGCCACTAGCAGCTCCAAGGTTGTCATCCATCTGTCAAAGACTCACCTCCTCTGAAGACAGCGTCCAGCCACTAGCAGCTCCCAGGTTGTCATCCAGCTGTGACAGAGTCGTGGCTCCGATGATCACTGATGGAACAACATCCTTCTGTAGCAGCCAGCGCAGTGACACCTGGGCCATGGATTTACCTGTGGGAGGAGACAATGTACTTTGACATCAAAACTAAGTTCACCAAGACGGTTCTTTGTCCGACAAATGTCTTCACGTATCTCGCCACTATGCCAACCTTGTCTCACCTCTAGGATCATCTTGCATAACACCACCATGCCCATCTTGTAACTCAGCGCCATTTCTACTGGTACGTATGCCAGGCACTAAGCATACCTTTTGTTCATCTGTTATACCTATCATGTTTACGTCACTACCATGCCCTTCCTTTGTTCATCTGCTATACCTATCATGTTTATGTCACTACCATGCCCGTCCTTTGTTCATCTGCTATACCTATCATGTTTATGTCACTACAATGCCCATCCTTTGTTCATCTGCTATATCTTTCATGTCTATGTCACTACCATGCCCATCCTTTGTTCATCTGCTATACCTATCATGTTTATGTCACTACAATGCCCATCCTTTGTTCATCTGCTATATCTTTCATGTCTATGTCACTACCATGCCCATCCTTAGTTCATCTGCTATACCTATCATGTTTATGTCACTACAATGCCCATCCTTTGTTCATCTGCTATACCTATCATGTTTATGTCACTACCATGCCCATCCTTTGTTCATCTGTTATACCTATCATGTTTACGTCACAACAATGCCCGTCCTTTGTTCATCTGCTATACCTATCATGTTTATGTCACTACCATGCCCGTCCTTTGTTCATCTGCTATACCTATCATGTTTATGTCACTACCATGCCCGTCCTTTGTTCATCTGCTATACCTATCATGTTTATGTCACTACAATGCCCATCCTTTGTTCATCTGCTATATCTTTCATGTCTATGTCACTACCATGCCCATCCTTAGTTCATCTGCTATACCTATCATGTTTATGTCACTACAATGCCCATCCTTTGTTCATCTGCAATATCTTTCATGTCTATGTCACTACCATGCCCATCCTTAGTTCATCTGCTATACCTATCATGTTTATGTCACTACAATGCCCATCCTTTGTTCATCTGCTATATCTTTCATGTCTATGTCACTACCATGCCCATCCTTAGTTCATCTGCTATACCTATCATGTTTATGTCACTACAATGCCCATCCTTTGTTCATCTGCTATATCTTTCATGTCTATGTCACTACCATGCCCGTCCTTAGTTCATCTGCTATACCTATCATGTTTATGTCACTACAATGCCCATCCTTTGTTCATCTGCTACACCCATCATGTATTTCACTACCATGCCCATCCTTTGTTCATCATCTGTGTACATGTTTATGTCACTACAATGCCCATCCTTTGTTCATCTGCTATACCTATCGTGTTTATGTCACTACAATGCCCATCCTTTGTTCATCTGCTATACCTATCATGTTTATGTCACTACAATGCCCATCCTTTGTTCATCTGCTACACCCATCATGTATTTCACTACCATGCCCATCCTTTGTTCATCATCTGTGTACATGTTTATGTCACTACAATGCCCATCCTTTGTTCATCTGCTATACCTATCGTGTTAATGTCACTACAATGCCCATCCTTTGTTTATCTGCTACACCCATCGTGTTTATGTCACTACCATGCCCACCCTTTGTTCATCATCTCTGTACATGTTTATGTCACTACAATTCCCATCCTTTGTTTATCTGCTATACCTATCATGTACATATCAGTTCCACGCCAACCATCTTTCCCCCACTCTGCCTGACCCATGTTACTACCGTGTGTGTTGGCGATGTCCCGCACTGCATCCATGATGGCCCACATCTGATCATTCTCCTGCACAGTGTTCCAGCTGCCGGCGTCCTTTTCTCTCCTCCAACCAAGGCGTCCTGTCGTCGGGGGAGACTCTCTTGTGTACTTCCCAGAAAGAAGGCCTCTGTTCAAGAAATAGTGGACATTTTAATGTAACTGCCAGAGTCATATAAAACAGTAGTATACATACACACTCCCCAAAGATGTAGGGCATCATGAGACATATAGTTATGATCGGTCAGAAGATAGAAATTTATCTTTGATAAATGACAGCCAAAAACTAACACCCCAACACACACTAAACATTGCATCTGGGCCATGCAATTCCTCCGTGTACGTCGGTAGGGGATCATTTTTTATTTTAACATTTCAGCAAAGTATTGTGGATTTTTATTATCCACAGTTACACGTAGCGACGTGATGAACGCTGAAGGGCTATTGGCATGCTTCAAATGGAAGAGTCCTGCGAGTGGTGGCCAATATGTTCATTGCGTCAGTCTGAGATTTTCAGACTTAGGATAATGTTTCTGCTGACACAAAATGTTAATGATCCACCCCGCATAGGGCGCTTTAGGTAATCAACACAAGTCCAGGATTAATTAATCAGAAGTCAGACTATATGAAAATCGAGTCCAAACAGCTATTCAAATCGCTGTTCAGTTTCGCCAGGCCACCGGATGTCAAGGTACTGACCAGACGATTAGAAATCCTCTGCAGGCACCTAATCTGCATGCTCGGCGACCACTTGTTGTACCGCCGTTTACAAATCGACACATTCTAGGCAGACACAAATGGTGTTTACAGCGTAGAAACTGGTGGAATCTTTTTATGTTTTCAGATGAGACCAGGTCCACTCTGGTGGGTGTGTATGTAATGATATGGGGCGGGATCACTATGATTGCCAGAACGCCACTGCATATTGTCCATGGAAGGTCACAGGACATACTGGCTCCACCAGTTGTGCCGTTAGCGTCATACTGGGTTTTTTTCTTTTAAGACGATAACGCTCGTGTCCACAGTGCACGTATCGTATTTGACATTGTCCAGCAGCAGAACATCACCAGACTCCAGAGGTCAGTCATGAGTCCTGACTCATTCCACATAGAGCACATCTGGGACATGATCGAGGGACGTGTACGCCGACGTCAAAGGGCACCCACTACGTCAGCCGAACTTACTCTAACATAAACTTACGATAATCATAATCACGCTAACGGGAAGAGACCCTTGATCCAACTCACCCCTTTAGAGGGCTCCAAGGCAGCACCCCTAATCCCTCCGTCTTGCACACCTGGAAGGGTTCGAACTCTGACTCCCGACACACCAGGCTGTACTGTTGCTGGAAAATAATAGTGAATATGATGCTATACCATTAATTCAGTTCAATCTGTAATGTTCTACCCGTAAGCTGATGAAGGGGTTCCAGCTATAATGTCCTACCTGTAAGCTGATGAAGGGGTTCCAGCTATAATGTCCAACCTGTAAGCTGATGGAGGTATTCCAGCTATAATGTCCTACCTGTAAGCTGATGAAGGTATTCCAGCTATAATGTCCAACCTGTAAGCTGATGGAGGTATTCCAGCTATAATGTCCTACCTGTAAGCTGATGAAGGGGTTCCAGCTATAATGTCCAACCTGTAAGCTGATGGAGGTATTCCAGCTATAATGTCCTACCTGTAAGCTGATGAAGGTATTCCAGCTATAATGTCCAACCTGTAAGCTGATGGAGGTATTCCAGCTATAATGTCCAACCTGTAAGCTGATGGAGGTATTCCAGCTATAATGTCCTACCTGTAAGCTGATGAAGGTATTCCAGCTATAATGTCCTACCTGTAAGCTGATGGAGGTATTCCAGCTATAATGTCCTACCTGTAAGCTGATGGAGGTATTCCAGCTATAATGTCCTACCTGTAAGCTGATGGAGGTATTCCAGCTATAATGTCCTACCTGTAAGCTTATGAGGGGTTCTGTCTGTGGTGTCCTACCTGTAAGCTGATGAAGGGGTTCCAGCTATAATGTCCTACCTGTAAGCTGATGGAGGTATTCCAGCTATAATGTCCAACCTGTAAGCTGATGGAGGTATTCTAGCTATAATGTCCTACCTGTAAGCTGATGAAGGTATTCCAGCTATAATGTCCTACCTGTAAGCTGATGGAGGTTTTCCAGCTATAATGTCCTACCTGTAAGCTGATGGAGGTATTCCAGCTATAATGTCCTACCTGTAAGCTGATGGAGGTATTCCAGCTATAATGTCCTACCTGTAAGCTGATGAAGGGGTTCCAGCTATAATGTCCAACCTGTAAGCTGATGGAGGTATTCCAGCTATAATGTCCTACCTGTAAGCTGATGGAGGTATTCCAGCTATAATGTCCTACCTGTAAGCTGATGGAGGTATTCCAGCTATAATGTCCTACCTGTAAGCTTATGAGGGGTTCTGTCTGTGGTGTCCTACCTGTAAGCTGATGAAGGGGTTCCAGCTATAATGTCCTACCTGTAAGCTGATGAAGCAGTACCTGTAAGTTTAAGAGGGTTCCGTCTGTGGTGTCCTACCTGTAAGCTGATGAAGGGGTTCATGCCCAGCTTCTCAGTAGTACAGGCTATCTTCTGTAGCTGCCAACCCAACACGTTGCTGGCACCGACGTAGCGCACCTTCCCACATCGAACCAGGTCATCAAATGTGCGGAGAGTTTCTTCAATAGGAGTGCCATCATCCCATTTGTGCATCTGGAGCACAATTTCACTTTGCACATTTAGTAACTTTTCTTTACCATAGAAACATATCCCAACCAAAATACCATAACAACCCTCAAATAAAGTCAGATTCAATTAAAGGCCAGGGCACATTTACTAAAAGTAATCTTTATTCCAGCACATTGTGATGAGCACAAATTCAAATCAAATCAAGTGTATGTTTTCAACTGAAGTCGTTGCAGCAGAAACACTAACGTCGCAAAAAGCGATTCAGTTGGTCACAAGATTCATTCACGGAAGTCAGCACTACTACTGTTACAGATCCACACACTACTGGTACAGATCCATATACTAGAAGCACGGATCCACACACTACTGGCACAGATCCATACACTACAGGCACAGATCCACAAACTACAGGTACAGATCCGCACACTACAGGCACAGATCCACACACTACAGGCACAGACCCACACACTACTGGTACAGATCCACACACTACTGCTACAGATCCACACACTACAGGCACAGATCCACACACTACTGGTACAGATCCACACACTACAGACACAGATCCACACATTACCGGCACAGATCCACACACTACAGGTACAGATCCGCACACTATTGGCACAGATCCACACACTACAGGCACAGATCCACACACTACTGGTACAGATCCACACACTACTGGTACAGATCCACACACTACTGGTACAGATCCACACACTACAGGCACAGATCCACACATTACCGGCACAGATCCACACACTACTGGTACAGATCAACACACTACTGGTACAGATCCGCACACTATTGGCACAGATCCACACACTACAGGCACAGATCCACACACTACAGGCACAGATCCACACACTACCGGCACAGACCCACACACTACTGGTACAGATCCACACACTACTGCTACAGATCCACACACTACAGGCACAGATCCACACACTACTGGTACAGATCCACACACTACAGGTACAGATTCACACACTACAGGCACAGATCCACACATTACCGGCACAGATCCACACACTACTGGCACAGATCCACACACTACAGGTACAGATCCGCACACTTTTGGCACAGATCCACACACTACAGGCACAGATCCACACACTACTGGTACAGATCCACACATTACAGGCACATATCCACACACTACTGGTACAGATCCACACACTACAGTCACAGATCCACACATTACCGGCACATATCCGCACACTACTGGTACAGATCCACACACTACATGCACAGATCTACGCACTACTGGCACAGATCCACACACTACTGGCACAGACCCACACACTACTTGCACAGATCCACACACTAAAAGCACAGACCCACACACTACTGGCGCGTATCCGCACACTACAGGCACAGATCCACACACTACTGGTACAGACCCACACACTACTGGTACAGATCCACACACTACAGGCACAGATCCACACACTACTGGCACAGATCCACACACTACAGGCACAGATCCACACACTACTGGCACAGATCCACACACTACTGGCACAGATCCACACACTACTGGCACAGATCCACACACTACTGGCACAGATCCACACACTACAGGCACAGATCCACACACTACTGGCACGGATCCATACACTACTGGCACAGATCCACACACTACTGGCACAGATCCACACACTTCACAGTACTCACCTGGTACAGATCCACACAATACTGGCACAGATCCACACACTACACAGTACTCACCTGGTACAGATCCACGTAATCTGTCTGCAGTCTCTCAAGACTGTTCTTGATGCTCTGGACAATATGGCGGCGACTCAGACCTACCCCATATGGCATGTTTCCTCTCACCTTTGTTGCAACAACAACTTGATCACGTGATTGTCTGAAACCGTAGGCAATAGTTTAAATGTCGGAAAGAAAGAAATGTTTGCAAATACGTCATAGTGTCAGAAAAAACGGAAATTGGTGCATTATACTACCAGTCTCCGTTGATGCAAATTAAATCCTGTCGCGGTATTTGGCACTTCCGGTGGATGTAGGTGAAATCCCTTGCTGGTATTCCTATCGTGGTATAATAGTGTTGTGTTTGTCACTCACTCACTCACGCAAATAATCCTTTCTAGATATGCTGCAAAAGGTTGTGGGTGGTCTGGTGACTTCGCTTATTTCATCTCTAATATCAGTGATAGGAGTTTTATAATAACATACTTTGTGAGCCAGGATCCAATGAACTTCTCAGACACTCCTTGTGAGTAAACGTCGGCGGTGTCGAGGAAGTTGCCTCCCCATTGGACGTAGCGGTCAAGCACCTGGTGGGAGTATTCCTCTGTGGCCTGACCGGGTCGGCTGCCCTGCAACTGATCAAGTGATGTTTTTTATGCGATCGCCAGGAATGACCCAGAATGTGTCCATTACGCATACATTCAAAGAATGGACGCAGAACAATCATCTATTGCATCCCGAGGGACGCTCAATAATATTCATTGTACAAAATTTCTTAAAAGAAATATAAAGGTCCAGTAATTAAAGTAATTATGAAATCTTACAGTACAGTACACTCCACCGTTTCATTACATTACAGGACCTTCATACAGTAAACTACGGTTATAGCGAACGCGCTTATAACGAACTGACGGATATAACGAACTTGCTTTTTTGGTCCCGACTATTTGCTGTAGTTATGCTGTGTATATGCTTATAACGAACTACGGTTATCACGAACTAAAATTAGTAGTCCCTTTGAATTCGTTATAACCGTACTTTACTGTATTTCTGTAAGAACCCTTGAAATTAATAATTGGGAGTCTCCTGGATCCCTCGTTTTGTAAGCCTACGTAAAACCCCTTATAGATTAATTTTATCACGAGACGTCAGAATATGTAGATGATAGTTGTGTCTTAAGAATGCCAATATACAATCTAATGTCACACTTTACCGCGGTGGGGCATCCGTGTAAGAATATAGGCCCTCAGCAAGCTACGATATTCGGATATGCCAACAATGGATCCGACGTCCAGGTTCTTGCTGTATTCGTACGACGGTGCGGATGGTTGCTCATTATAACAACCTCTGGATTGTCTGGTTCGGTCTCGATTAAAGACTGTCGTCATATACCTGAGACAGTGTTCGATGTAAACATCAAGTAAACAAACAACATGAAACACTATGAACTAGAGAACAATTGATGACTAGGATTGTCATGTCACTGAAGCCTCTACCACTAGAGTTTCGTCTTATACATGGAAGGTATACTTAATGTCTACATCAATCATCAACTACACTGATGCCAATACCTTGAGCCTCCACTACTAATGTTTCCCCTTATACATGGAAAAATTACCAAATGGCTACAGCTATCATCAACTACACTGATGCCAATACCTTGAGCCTCCACTACTAATGTTCCCCCTTATACATGGAAGGGATACCAAATGACAACAGCAATCATCAACTACACTGATGCCAATACCTTGAGCCTCTACTACTAATGTTCCCCCTTATACATGGAAGGGATACCTAATGGCTACAGCTATCATCAACTACACTGATGCCAATACCTTGAGCCTCCACTACTTATGGTTCCCCTTATACATGGAAGGGATACCAAATGACAACAGCAAGCATTAACTACACTGATGCCAATACCTTGAGCCTCCATTACTAATGTTTCCCCTTATACATGGAAGGGATACCTAATGGCTACAGCAATCATCAACTACACTTATGCCAATACCTTGAGCCTCCACTACTAATGTTCCCCCTTATACATGGAAGGGACACCTAATGGCTACAGCAATCATCAACTACACTGATGCCAATACCTTGAGCCTCCATTACTAATGTTCCCCCTTATACATGGAAGGGATACCTAATGGCTACAGCAATCATCAACTACACTGATGCCAATACCTTGAGCCTCCACTAATAATGTTCAGCCTTATACATGGAAGGGATACCTATTGGCTACAGCAATCATCAACTACACTGATGCCAATACCTTGAGCCTCCACTACTAATGTTCCCCCTTATACATGGAAGGGATACCTAATGGCTACAGTAATCATCAATTACACTTATGCCAATACCTTGAGCCTCCACTACTAATGTTCCCCCTTATACATGGAAGGGATACCTAATGGCTACAGCTATCATCAACTACACTGATGCCAATACCTTGAGCCTCCACTAATAATGTTCAGCCTTATACATGGAAGGGATACCTAATGGCTACAGCAATCATCAACTACACTGATGCCAATACCTTGAGCCTCCACTAATAATGTTCAGCCTTATACATGGAAGGGATACCTAATGGCTACAGCAATCATCAACTACACTGATGCCAATACCTTGAGCCTCCACTACTAATGGTTCCCCTTATACATGGAAGGGATACCAAATGACAACAGCAAGCATTAACTACACTGATGCCAATACCTTGAGCCTCCATTACTAATGTTTCCCCTTATACATGGAAGGGATACCTAATGGCTACAGCAATCATCAACTACACTTATGCCAATACCTTGAGCCTCCACTACTAATGTTCCCCCTTATACATGGAAGGGATACCTAATGGCTACAGCAATCATCAACTACACTTATGCCAATACCTTGAGCCTCCACTACTAATGTTCCCCCTTATACATGGAAGGGATACCTAATGGCTACAGCAATCATCAACTACACTGATGCCAATACCTTGAGCCTCCACTACTAATGGTTCCACTTATACATGGAAGGGATACCAAATGACAACAGCAAGCATTAACTACACTGATGCCAATACCTTGAGCCTCCACTAATAATGTTCCCCCTTATACATGGAAGGGATACCCAATAGCTACAGCAAGCATTAACTACACTGATGCCAATACCTTGAGCCTCCACTACTAATGGTTCCCCTTATACATGGAAGGGATACCCGATAGCTACAGCAAGCATTAACTACACTGATGCCAATACCTTGATCACATGATATCTGGAGTGAATGGCAATATAGTGAGTCATGGAATTTCTCTCTCGGCGATGCATAAAAATACTTTCTAGGCTACAAAATCGCCGGACGTAATGTAAATATTGTCCGTAAATATAAGGAAGCATGTTTTGAATGATATTTGTGTCCTGAAGCGTTAATTACTCCATCAGTATCCAGGCAACAACACTTCATTGTTTATGATCGCCTCTCTGCTCTGGGGACCGCCTCCGTGGTCTAATGGTAGAGCGTCCGCCCGGAGAGCGGAAGGTCCGGGGTTCGATTCCCGGCCGCGCCATACCAAAAGACGTAAAAAGATAGTACTTGTTGTTACCCTGTCTGGCGCTCGGCATTAAGGGGCTAAAACAAGGACTGGTCAGCTGGGAGTCAGTATACTGTGTCTGAGTGGGGTATTCATGTTAAACTACGACATGGTATCTCAGTGTGCTAGCACTATAAATCGGCATCAGTCCGGACTAGTACAAGCAGCCAAACACACATACACGTGCATGTACGTCGCTATATAAGTGCAGTAATCTTGGACGCGACGTTAAACCCCATTACATCACCTCACCTCACCTCACCTCACCTCACCTCACCTCTCTGATCTGGTGGATAGAGCCGTCGCTCGGTGAGTGGAAGGTCGGCAGTTCGATCCCCTGACCCCGTCATACCAAAACTTACTGAAAGATTGTACTTGCTGTTAACTGTCTTGCGCTCAGCATTATGGGGATAAAACAAGGACTGGTCGGAGTATACTGTATCTGATTGGGTATTCATGTCAGACTGCGACATATCACCTCACCTTGTTCACGGTCATACATTCACGTGTACATGTTTGTGAGCGTTTATCAGTTTTCTGGCCGTGTATATAACAATTGCACACAGCCCGGCTTAGGGACCGACCTTTTGATATTCTTGGGGTCTGGGATTTCTGGGATAAATAAATGCTTCTCTAATATTTTTGAAAATATAATTTACTTCAGACTGTAAAAAAAGAAAACGAAATGGGCTGCCACAATATTTACGTTGATACAAGATGTTTTTCTTTAAAGAAGTCATGGTTTAAAAAGACCTATACATGTATTTGGTTTTGTAGCATTATTTGTGGTTTTGTACAACAAACATTCGTTGTAACGTAATGCAGAGTCAGTGTCACCGAATACGTCGGTGTATATCATGAAGCATGCACTATATTACTGATATACATCAAGGTCAGTCCCGTGCATATTGATAGCATCACGTATGTATTTCAAGGTCAACGTATCACCAGATAGCACATACGTAATTTCAATTTAGTTCAACGATGGGGTTGGTTTAATCCGTTGAACGTCTCTATTATACATACTAATATCAATAATCTCCCCTCAAAATGAAAACTATAAACATTTTCTTTTCATATCACGTTTGGCTATGTGAAAGTGCACAACACACGAGCCGTGACACCGCTTACCACACACTCCCTCAGACCCTAAGAAAGAGACGCATTTGTCGTTCTTGCATTACCAAACTCACCCCAGCATTGCCAAACGTCACCGTGCCGAGACATATGTTGGCCACCTTCAGTCCAGACCTCCCTAAGAAGTTGTAGGAAAGTTTACTCTCCTCTGGTACAGCTGCCATCTTTGTTGTAGGGCGAGTAACGTCGACACCAGCAGGATACTCGTTTGCAATCTATCGGTAACTGTCAGCTGATGGATGTGACCTTAGGTTTGCAATCCTGAGTGTTGATCTGCGCTGTGAAAAGGCCAGGAAGGTTCTGAAGAAACTATTTGTTTGTTTGTTTGTTTGTTTTGGCTCAACGCCGCACTCAGCTATAAGACAGTGATCTGTAAATAATCAATTCTGGACCAGAATATCCAGTGATAGACATCATGAGCATCGATCTAGGCAATTTGGATACGATGACATGCATCAATCAAGGCAGAGAGTCTGACCATGCGAACCCGTTAGTTATGGGTTGCTGAAGACCTATTCTTTACACGGATCCTGAAGAAATTAAGTAAATACAGGAATGAGTGAGTGGGTTGGGTTGAATGCAACTTTGAACAGGATTCCAGTTAATTTACGGTGTGTCAGCTTGATGTTGGAAGAAAGCCTAGGTGATGCAGGCCTCAGACATTTACCACTTTGAGGTCGTCCCACTGCAGAATTGATACCTCTTATCTTTAATTTCGAACAGAGTGCTCTAACAGAATCAGAATCAAGCATCCTTCAATGTCATGGTACAATGAATAATAAATATTTGGGTGTGTTATTGACTCAAATGCGAACAGTAAGTAAGATGACGTTTGACCTGGCAGTATGGGCAAAATGATCTTTGATTTATGTCCAATCTGTTACGTCCCAAGGGGTTTTTAAACACGCACTGTATCTAAATTGTTTTACTCACAAATGCAAGTATCCTACTGTACGGGTCGTAAAACCGTAAAAAGACGTTTCATTTCCTTCGTGAACCACTGAACATGCCTATGGACCCTGTGAAGGTCCGGGTTAGAACTGATTTACAGCAATCCATGATTGTGTTAAAGAGGCGACTAACAGGATCGGGTGGTCAGGCTCGCTGAGTTGGTTGATACATGTAATCGTATCCCAGTTGCGTACGTCGACACTCATGATGTCAGTCATTGAATTGTCTGGTCCAGACTGGATTATTTCAGACCGTCGTCATAAAGCTGGAATATTGCTCAGTGTGGCGTTAAACAACAAGCAAATAAAACATGTCCATGGGCCGGAGGCCTAACAATAAAACCCTTTTGACTTGACAATGGTGAGGATTCTTCCTGTCCATTAGGAGATTAACCTGTTTGTTTTTTTGTTTTTTTTAAAAATTGCTGTTGCTTGGAACAACAGGGAATTGGAAATACATTACTCATGCAATGTAATGTTACTTCGTTGTACTCTTTGTACTCATTGTAAATTGTATTCATACCACGTTTGCACGTGTACATACAATGGACTCACACCTGCATTGGGACCATCTCCCCAGCTGGTTTTCTTAGTACAATAACGTCAACGCACACCAATGCTAATAGTAGCAATGGATATTTGTGATGCTATAATCCACACGTTGAAGCATGCTCAAAGCGCTACAATGTACCAATGTATGGACAAAATATGTGGAGGAATGGATAGACTGTCGATTGATGAGAACCACAGTTTTGCCCCAATGACACATATAAAATGTAATTAAACACACTACTAGCCTCCTTGTGAGACGAGAGTCGATAACACTGTGATTCCTATCCTCCTTGACAGGCGGGAGGTGACATTTACTAATGACACTTTTTTCTTACTAGCCCAGTGCTGTAGTTATCGGACTACTTTAAACGATGTCTCTGCCTCTCTGCATCATTATCACTCCAGGAAACATTGTTGTGAAAGCAACTATTCAGCAGGTGTCTCACATATGTGTCACAGGGAGATCACTGTTATACGTAGATGGTGAATAGTATGGCAAAACTATGGAATGCTGTAAGGGCCATTCTCTCATTCTCCTGATCCCGACTTTTGGAAACAAGCTCAAAATACCAAGTGTCCAAGAATGCGCGATCGCGAGAATGGGAGAATGTCCCTTACAGTATTCCATACAAAACATATGATGTATAATGTGTGGCATCCCTACAAGTTTTGCTTGTTGTCTTGTTCCAGTGCAATGAATGTGAACACACAAAACAAATACAGATATTGTCATAATTACAAAGTTTAATTTTAGGATATGAAAATACAAGAACTTAATCCGACAGTTTAACATAAATCAAAGTTGTCACTGGACGTTCATAGCATCAGTGAATAATCTGACTAGGAATGTAAGGGAACCTTAGTTTTCATCTTGTCTTCGTGCAGCCAAATTTGTATATCATAATATTAACATCATGGATATAATATAAGGGTAACGCTATTTTTCAGGGCATTATCATTTGCAGAAGACCGAGGTCTTCCATTAACAGCCCAACAAAGGAGGGCAGTTGAAAAGACAGAGAGCTTCTGCAAATGATAGTGCCCTGAAAAGTAGTGATACCGTTATTATAGCTAAAATGGATGGAATTTGTTATCAAATAAAAAGAAACAACAATATCGGTTTTGAAACATTTACTGCAATTAACACAAATGTCACTGACCCACTTTTGACAAATATGGAAACGTCATAGAACAAACCAGATGACGTCACTATTGAACGTGACGTCACATATTCCTACCCTATAACGTCACATAACAATGTGCGTGATAATGGCCCGTCGTCAAGCAATATGAGGACATTATGAAGTTACAGTGGCCCGCTGATTTCTGATAACATGCGGGCGGTTTAATGATAATTCTATCCATTTTAGCTATACTGAACAATAAAAGTTCCTGTGACATTGAATAAGATTTAATGCAAAGTTATGTTTTTTTTACCAAATCTGAAACAATTTCCGTTTGCAACAGATAAAAGACTCCTGTAAGTGTTCAAATGGTTTAATTTGCCATACTGACTTCAGAAAATGCGTGATTTCATAAAAAAAACCATGAACATGCCAAAATGTCAATTTACAAATCAATAGCGTGTGTGTCAACCTCTGGTTGCGATGCAAGCAACACATCTTCGTCTCATGGAATGGACAAGGCGTTGCACACAGTCCTGTAGGATATATGTCCATATCTGCTGGAGCATGTTTCGAAGTTCCAGGACTGTCTGTGGAACACGTGGTTGACGCTGAAGCCGCCAACCCATCTCAACCCACATGTGCTCGATTGGTGAGAGATCAGGGGAGCGAGACAGCCTGGGGATGACATTCACAACAGGGCCGATGATCTCGTCGTGGTAGCGCTGTCCATTGAGATTTCCCTCTACAACTATCAAACCACACCCATCTTTATACCCATTCTTGGGTAGTGAAATGCATGGGGCTTGCATAAAAGTCAACTTTTGCATGGAATGCATGCTTTTCTGTAGCAGTTGCGATTTTGTGACTTGATTCCATACATGTTCTACAATATTGAAAACCAAAATTAACTTGTTTGAAAAATATACCAAAATATTGGTGTCACAGGAACTTTTGTTGTTGAGTATATGTTGGCATGCTCCAAGTGCGGCAAAAGTTGCGCTTCAAACTCAAGTTCCACTGATTTGGGTATTGAATCACATGCATTAGTCAGAAAACTGTTTTGGGTCTTGTTTGGCCGATTGATTCTCATCCATTTTGTGACAATATTTGGGGTTAGGACCCAACGTGTCGAACTTTCAGTTTGGTAACGTTTCTTTTGTTCTTCAGTTTACATCAAAGGTTATGCTATTTATATCAATCATCCACAATCTAAGTAACTGAAAAGTACATTCCTCCAGTACCTGTGAGTACAAACATGTCAAGTTGACCAGTTTTCTGTCAATTTAAGAAAATTTCACACAGGGTATTTCTACATTTGGTGTTGTCAAAGATGGTCTTTTATTATATAAAGTGCTTCATTATATTGCCAATATCATTGTGCGGTTTTAAAATAAACAAATATGTGTACAGTTATAATGTTTCAGTGAACAGTGAGAAAATTGTAACATTCTTTCCACAGGTTGAATTTGAAATACACCGTAAAAGGTCTCTTTTTAGAAGTAAAAAAATGAAGAAAAATCTCAAAGATTGTGACCATATAGATCAAAATAGAGTACTTAGTCTGTTTGATGCCTGCAGAAATATCCTGCCTGGTTGTGTATCTGGTGCAAATGCAGTCTGTAAGAATGGAACGTATTGAACTTTAATGGGGCATGAAAACTGTCAAGGGTGAACTGTACATACTTCACCCTCCGGCTCAGAACCTTGCAGCCAACCCTCATATGTATAACGTTAGTCAAAATGATTCTTTAAAGTGGACCATCGAGTACAATGAAACTAGTAAAGACTCTTTAATTTCAGACACATGCTTGTTAGAACAGGGTTAAGTAACCTTTTCGGGTTTCTGCATAATTTGGTAACTATTTTCCTTTCCCTCAGAAAGTCTTGCAATCTTAGCTGCAAGCTACTGTCTGCAATTCAACTATGAACAATAATCCCACAGACTGTGGGCGCCTTAGATAATGGAATTGTGTATTTATATAATCAGTTTACAAAAATAATTAATTCTTTGTACAATCACTCAGGGAAAAGGTAATAATATATTTTTAAAGAAATATTCCAGGACTGATGCGGATGTCATCTTAAGATCAGCGTGTGGTATAATGTCACACGTGAAGACTGCATGGTGTCTCCATGAATGGCAGATTGTGCTGTAATCAGTTTTCGTTGTGATCAGTTTGTGTTGGAGACAAAGTATGATGACTGGAAGGGATTACTCCGAGACTTGTTCAGTCTCCACACCATCTCATAGGGATACGGTATTCTGGGTTGAGACACTTCGTCCAGTCGTGCCATCTGAAAAGCATGGTAATCTCAATCATTTGTATGACCAATACACATATTATCATTTGAGTTTGAGACTGGTACATCATGTACTGCTGACATGTTCTCATCCATCTGTCTCAGACTCACGTCCTCTGAAAACACCGTCCAGCCACTAGCAGCCCCAAGGTTGTCATCAATCTACCACAGACTCACCTCCTCTGAAGACAGCGTCCAGCCACTAGCAGGCACCAGGATGTCATCCATCTACCACAGACTCACCTCCTCTGAAGACAGCGTCCAGCCACAAGCAGCCCCCAAGTTGTCATCCATCTATCACAGACTCACCTCCTCTGATGTCAGCATCCAGCCACAAGCAGCCTCCAGGTTGTCATCCATCTATCACAGACTCACCTCCTCTGAAGACAGTGTCCAGCCATTGGCAGCCCCACGTTGTCATCCATCTATCACAGACTCACCTCCTCTGAAGACAGCGTCCAGCCACTAGCATCATCAGATGGTCATCCATCTATCACAGACTCACCTCCTCTGAAGACAGCGTCCAGCCACTAGCAGCTCCCAGGTTGTCATCCAGCTGTGCCAGAGTCGTGGCTCCGATGATCACTGATGGAACAACATCCTTCTGTAGCAGCCAGCGCAGTGACACCTGGGCCATGGATTTACCTGTGGAAGAGAACATAATACAGCCTCAAGCTAGCAATCTTGCTTACCATAGGTTTCAGGTTGTCTCTTAACAAGGATTTCTAACATCTGTGTTCACCAGGTTTGTCACGATGTCTAAATGGTTCTCACAATGTCTACCTGGTTTGTCACAATGTCTAAGAGGTTCACATACTGTCTATGATTGACTTACTGTTGTGTCAAATCACCACTCACTCCTCTAACAGTTATGCCTACCGTGTGTCTTTGCGATGTCCTGTACTGCATCGATGATGTTCCAGATCTGATCATTCCCCTCCAGGGTGTTCCAGCCTGGCATAGCCTGGTTTGCTCGTTTCTCATCCCCTCTCACCCAGCCCAGGCGCCCAGCTGTCGGGGGAGAATCTCGTGTATACTTCCCAGAAAGCAGGCCTCTGTTCAACACATATTTCATCAACGAAATATTTCACATCATTTTGATTTCTTAACTTGATGACAACTCAAAAAAGTTTATCCACTATTGTCTGAGTGCAAATTTAAACTGTCAGAGTGGTTGAGGGTAATTCAATGAGATTGCACAAAGCTCACAATTTAACGGAATGTTAAACTATTGTTTTTCATTGGTACATACTCAAAGACCTTTCCAGGAGTTAGATCTTTCAAAAAAGGTTACGCAGGCTGACATAGCAAAGTCTTCTTAGGCTTAGGGCAACTCTACTCAATCATTCATTAAAAATTTCCAGGTAACACAATCAGTCACCAAATGAGACATGGCAATGGCAACACAACTCATTCAACCAATGAGATACGGCCAGGCCAACACCACTCATTCAACGCAAAATAATTACATTTTTGTTGTGTTCATTGAAATTCTCGTATTCCGATTAGCTGAATTGGTCACATATTATTGCATTCATTTCTCAATGAATGTCAAAAATTAAGCCAGGCCCACCAAGGCACACTACTTTTATTACTGTGGAATGTCGGGGAATCCCAATATTACAGTCGAGGGAATTCCCCTTCTGCTCAAGTGTATCGCCATGCACAGGACATTTAGCGACTTTCATGCATATTCATTGTCCAAACTACCCTTTGAAACCGAAGGCCGAGAATGAATGAAACAGCAAACGTGCATGCTCACTCGCCTGTTTTTTTCCCGCTCGCCTCGGTTCAACTTTCATGTCTTCGGGTTTCATTTCTCAATGAACCGAAAAAAATACACAGTCATTGAGGTTTGAATCGAAAATCCGATGTGCAAACTGTTTGAATCTTACCTCAATGAACCGAAAAAAATACACAGTCATTGAGGTATGAATCGAAAAACCGATGTGCAAACTGTTTGAATCTTACCTCAATGAACCGAAAAAAATACACAGTCATTGAGGTATAAATCGAAAAATTGATGTGCAAACTGTATGAATCAAACCTCAATGAACCGAAAAAAATACACAGTCAATCCTTCAATACATTCAGCACATGAGAGACTGCCAGCGCAACACGTCTCATTCCCCCAATGAGAGACTGCCAGCGCAACACGTCTCATTCCCCCAATGAGAGGCCACAATGCAGGGCAACACGTCTCATTCCCCCAATGAGAGGCCACCATGCAGGGCAACATGTCTCATTCCCCCAATGAGAGGCCACCATGCAGGGCAACACGTCTCATTCCCCCAATGAGAGGCCACCATGCAGGGCAACACGTCTCATTCCCCCAATGAGAGGCCACCATGCAGCGCAACACGTCTCATTCCCCCAATGAGAGGCCACCATGCAGGGCAACACGTCTCATTCCCCCAATGAGAGGCCACCATGCAGCGCAACACGTCTCATTCCCCCAATGAGAGGCCACCATGCAGGGCAACACGTCTCATTCCCCCAATGAGAGGCCACCATGCAGCGCAACACGTCTCATTCCCCCAATGAGAGGCAACCATGCAGCGCAACACGTCTCATTCCCCCAATGAGAGACTGCCAGCGCAACACGTCTCATTCCCCCAATGAGAGGCCACCATGCAGGGCAACACGTCTCATTCCCCCAATGAGAGGCCACCATGCAGCGCAACACGTCTCATTCCCCCAATGAGAGGCCACCATGCAGGGCAACACGTCTCATTCCCCCAATGAGAGGCCACCATGCAGCGCAACATGTCTCATTCCCCCAATGAGAGACTGCCAGCGCAACACGTCTCATTCCCCCAATGAGAGGCCACCATGCAGGGCAACACGTCTCATTCCCCCAATGAGAGGCCACCATGCAGGGCAACACGTCTCATTCCCCCAATGAGAGGCCACCATGCAGGGCAACACGTCTCATTCCACCAATGAGAGGCCACCATGCAGGGCAACACGTCTCATTCCACCAATGAGAGGCCACCATGCAGGGCAACACACATCTTAGTGAGGCAAGTTTCCACCCTGAACTTGACTTAACTTGACTCTGAACTTACCTGACATTTTTGGGCCCGATCTTTATTCTAGTAAATCGGGTCTCACTTCTCTAAGTGCGTCAAATCACATGAGCACTTTCAATTAAAACGTGAAAGAAAATGGAAAATATCTGTTGACGCAAAGTTGAGGATACACATGGTTTGCAAATCCTGCAAACTACCGAAATCTGTATGGCACTTTAGGAACTGGATGTTGATTTGGTTATGCGATTTTGATTGGACTATGCACAGACTTGTTAGTCCAGCCAAAATACAACTCCATAATTCAAGCCATGTATAGTTATGTATCACTACTTTTCCTTCCAATGTGATTCTTGTATAATGGCATAGAGGATCATGTGCTGATCATTGTTATCCAACTCACCCCTTAAGAGGGCTCCAAGGCAGCACCCCTAATCCCTCCGTCTTGCACACCTGGAAGGGTTCGAACTCGGACTCCCGACACACCAGATTGTACTGTTGCTGGAAAATAATTTCAGTGTCCAATTAGCATCAAACGTACTGCAGCAACCAACTTAATGAATCAGGTGGTCAGGCTCAGTAACGTGGTTGATTGTGTGTCATCATAGCATCATTGCTTTCAATAACAATCACTGGTTTGTCTGGTCAAGACATGATTATTCACACCCTGCCATCATGCACCTGAGATATTGTTGAGTGTGCTGATAAATAACAAACAAAACAAACATGACAATGGCACAGTAATTTTACTGTGGTTCAAGCACTGTGGATATGATGCTATACCATTCCTTCACTTTCAGCTATAATCTCCTACCTGTAAGCTGATGAAGTGGTTCCAGCTATAATGTTCTACCTGTAGGCTGATGAAGGGGTTCAAGCTATAATGTCCTACCTGTAAGCTGATGAAGGGGTTCCAGCTATAATGTCCTACTTGTAGGCTGATGAAGGGGTTCCAGCTATAATGACCTACCTGTTAGCTGATGAAGGGGTTCCAGCTATAATGTCCTACCTGTAAGCTGATGAAGGGGTTCCAGCTATAATGTCCTACCTGTAAGCTGATGACGAGGTTCCAGCTATAATGTCCTATCTGTTAGCTGATGAAGGGGTTCCAGCTATAATGTCCTACATGTAAGTTGATGAAAGGGATCCTAGCTATAATGTCCTACCTGTAAGCTAATGAGGGGTTCCAGCTGTAATGTCCTACCTGTAAGCTAATGAGGGGTTCCAGCTGTAATGTCCTACCTGTAAACTAATGAGGGGTTCCAGCTATAATGTCCTACCTGTAAGCTAATGAGGGGTTCCAGCTGTAATGTCCTACCTGTAAGCTGATGAAGGGGTTCATGCCCAGCTTCTCTGTAGTACAGGCTATCTTCTGTAGCTGCCAACCCACCACGTTGCTGGCACCGACGTAGCGCACCTTCCCACACCTAACCAGGTCATCAAATGTGCGGAGTGTTTCTTCAATAGGAGTGCCATCATCCCAGTTGTGCATCTGGAACACCAGGAGAGTACATGGCCAGTTTCCTGTGTGTCAGAGATGGCATGGTACTCATGCTATCCGTGTCTCAAACCACTCATCCCCAATGGATCTCCTCACCTCAGTCTACCTGTGTCTGAGACAACTCAACCTACATATCCTTCGACTGCCTCCATGGTCTAGTGGTAGAGCATCCGCCCGGAGAGCGGAAGGTCTGGGGTTCGATCCCCGGCCGCGTCATACCAAAAGACGTTTAAAAACGGTACTTGTTATTACCCTGTCTGGAACTTGGCATTAAGGGGCTAAAACAAGGACTGGTCAGCTGGGAGTCAGTATGCTGTGTCTGGGTGGGGTACTCATGTTAAACTGCGGCATGGTATCTCAATGGGCTAGCACTTTAAATCTGCATCAGCCCGAACTATTTCAAGCAGCCACACACACACATAGCATGCACGTTGCTATATAAGGGCAATAATCTTGGACGTGATGTTCAACCCTATTTCACCTCACCCACGACTAAATTGGTCAAAATAATCATTTACCTCTCGCTTCACTTGAGTGTTTGAGTATGCTTTTACGCCACTTTTAGCAATATTCCACAATATTATGTCACAGCGGAGGACACCAGAAAAGGGCTTCACGTCGTACCCATGTCGGAAATCGAACACGAGTCTTCTGACAACTGAAGAGCGAATGCTTTAACCACTAGGCTACCCCACCACCCCGAGCAGTTAGTACTCACCTGGTACAGATCCACGTGGTCTGTCTGCAGCCTCTCAAGGCTGTTCTGGATGCTCTTGACAATATGGCGACGACTCAGACCAACGCCAATAGATGTGTTTGCTCTCACCTTTGTTGCAATAACGTACTTCTCACGCGTTTGTCTGGAATGAAAAACAGATTAATTTTCAAATGGCTCATACATATGTGGAAACAGACACATCACCCCTCAGGACTGAATGTCAAGAATATTTAATTTTTAGTTAGTTTTGGCCACCATGTCAAATGACACGCCACAAGTTACTACTGCTTGAAAAAATAAATTGCTCCAGTTGAAATTGGTCATAGTCACCTCAAAGTAGAAATATGTAAAGGTACAGAAGTTCACCTATATTCAATACATATAATAAAACAACTAATTTCTTCTTAAACTGCATCCCCCAATTCCTGAACTTTCATTGATATTTCCCTGAATCTAATGTCCCCTTGGAACAGATATTTAATGGTAATATTGAGAGATATGAGATAAGTGTATGTATAATTTTTTAAGTTACCACATTTTCATATGGTAACACTGAAGAAAAGGTTCAAACATATAATCAGATAATATTTTGAGTTTATAGTATATATAAGTATATATAAGTATATATGTTATCATAAGTGAAACACACACATGTTCTTATTTGAGTAGAGAAGCATTTAGAAATTGTACATGCTCTTTATGCAAACAGTATCTTTAATAATTGACCTTTTGCATAATTATGCTGACATTGACCTTTTAGAGAAGTCTACCAAAATCTATCCAGGAAGCCATGTTTGCCCAGTTTGGTGATTATCCTGTTATGAAATACCAGCTAATTGTAGTCATAAGCTATGTCTATGCTTATTTCGGGGCAGTCGGGTAGCCAAGTGGTTAAAGCATTCGCTCAACACGCCGAAGACCCGGGTTCGATTCATGACATGGGTACAATGTGATATTGCTGGAATATTGCTAAAAGCAGCGTAAAACCATACTCACTCACTATAGCTCACCTATCTCATATGTCACAAGCTCACCTTTCATGGCAGCCAATATGGCTATGGTGCTGATAAACCTACAAACAAAATAGGGGCAAACCGGTATTCGAACCCACAAGATTTCTGGCGTGCCCAAGGGACAAAATTCTGGTTTAAAGAAATCATTCCTTGTTGTTGAATGTAACAAATGTGCAGAAAATGTATGATTCTGTCATCACTGACTTATCATGAAATTGTTTCAGAGAAGCAATACATGACAGTAGCACACAAATGGCAAGTGATAGGTATGTTTAGGTCAGGTACACACTCCTACAGGTGGCCAATGATCTCAACAAATCAAGAAGTGTGATTTTAGGCTTATGGAAATGCAACACTGTTGTGGACCGCAATAAAACGACAGACAGACCATGAAGTCTCACACAAACAAGCAGTGACAAGGGAAAGAGTCAGCTCATCAAGCAGAAACACCGAGTTCAGGGGCATCGCCCAAGCAATTAAGTGAGAGAACTGTGCACAATCGGTTGAAAGCTGCAGGATTACAAAGTCTTTGGCCAGTGATCAGCATCAAGGCGACGCATCACAAACCTTTAAAAGTGGAACGACATCATAGGACCAGACAGTTGCACCATCGGCATCACACCATTGTTAGTGAGTGACAAGTTAAGGAGCTGGGTGTGGTAACATGATCATGAGCCTGCAGCTGTACCCTGTGACATCCTGACCAATGTGGTGGTCACTCCGTGAAGGTGTGGACATCTCCAGCCATAGGACAGACTTCACATGTCTTGAAGGTCAACTCACGGCTGAACATTAATTGTGATTATTGTAAGGTGTTTCTCATAGGATTTGCCATCAGTTTCAATTCATACAGGATAATGAATGATATTCTAGGATGGCCAGTTCATGTTTTCAGATGACCCCCTCCTGAACACTGTTATGTTTTCAGATGACCCCCTCCTGAACATTGTCATGTTATCAGATGACCCCCCCCTGAACACTGTCATGTTATCAGATGACCCCCTCCTCAACACTGTCATGTTATCAGATGACCCCCTCCTGAACACTGTCATGTTATCAGATGACCCCTCCTTAACATTGTCATGTTATCAGATGACCCCCCTGAACACTGTCATGTTGTCAGATGACCCCTCCTGAACATTGTCATGTTATCAGATGACCCCCCTGAACACTGTCATGTTATCAGATGACCCCTCCTGAACATTGTCATGTTATCAGATGACCCCCCTGAACACTGTTATGTTTTCAGATGACCCCTCCTGAACATTGTCATGTTATCAGATGACCCCCTCCTGAACACTGTCATGTTATCAGATGACCCCCTCCTGAACACTGTCATGTTATCAGATGACCCTCCTAAACACTGTCATGTTATCAGATGACCCCTCCTGAACATTGTCATGTTATCAGTAGATTCCCTCTTCAACACTGTCATGTTATCAGATGACCCCCTCCTGAACACTGTCATGTTATCAGATGACCCCTCCTGGACATTGTCATGTTATCAGATGACCCCCCTGAACACTGTCATGTTATCAGATGACCCCCTCCTGAACACTGTCATGTTATCAGATGACCCCCTCCTGAACACTGTCATGTTATCAGATGACCCCTCCTGAACATTGTCATGTTATCAGTAGATTCCCTCTTCAACACTGTCATGTTATCAGATGACCCCCTCCTGAACACTGTCATGTTATCAGATGACCCCTCCTGGACATTGTCATGTTATCAGATGACCCCCTCCTGAACACTGTCATGTTATCAGATGACCCCCTCCTGAACACTGTCATGTTATCAGATGACCCCTCCTGGACATTGTCATGTTATCAGATGACCCCCCTGAACACTGTCATGTTATCAGATGACCCCCTCCTGAACACTGTCATGTTATCAGATGACCCCCTCCTGAACATTGTCATGTTATCAGATGACCCCCTCCTGAACACTGTCATGTTATCAGATGACCCCCCCCTGAACACTGTCATGTTATCAGATGACCCCCTCCTGAACACTGTCATGTTATCAGATGACCCCTCCTGAACATTGTCATGTTATCAGATGACCCCCCTGAACACTGTTATGTTTTCAGATGACCCCCTCCTGAACATTGTCATGTTATCAGATGACCCTCCTAAACACTGTCATGTTATCAGATGACCCTCCTAAACACTGTCATGTTATCAGATGACCCCTCCTGAACATTGTCATGTTATCAGTAGATTCCCTCTTCAACACTGTCATGTTATCAGATGACCCCCTCCTGAACACTGTCATGTTGTCAGATGACCCCTCCTGAACACTGTCATGTTATCAGATGACCCCTCCTGAACACTGTCATGTTATCAGATGACCCCTCCTGAACACTGTCATGTTATCAGATGACCCCCTCCTGAACACTGTCATGTTGTCAGATGACCCCTCCTGAACACTGTCATGTTATCAGATGACCCCCTCCTGAACACTGTCATGTTATCAGATGACCCCTCCTGAACACTGTCATGTTGTCAGATGACCCCTCCTGAACATTGTCATGTTATCAGATGACCCCCTCCTAAACACTGTCATGTTATCAGATGACCCCCTCCTGAACATTGTCATGTTATCAGATGACCCCCTCCTAAACACTGTCATGTTATCAGATGACCCCTCCTGAACATTGTCATGTTATCAGTAGATTCCCTCCTGAACACTGTCATGTTATCAGATGACCCCCTCCTGAACACTGTCATGTTATCAGATGACCCCTCCTGAACATTGTCATGTTATCAGATGACCCCTCCTGAACACTGTCATGTTATCAGATGACCCCCTCCTGAACACTATCATGTTTCCGATGCCCTTCCCCTGAATAAGGTCAAGTTTCAGATGACCCTCCCTGAATAATGTTATGACCCCTCTCCTGACTTTCTTATTCCTGTTTCTGTGACTTGCAAAAGGCCTGGAGAAAAGGATCATAGTCCATTCTTACACATGTTAGAGTGGGTGAAATTGAAAAGTGATGCAGGTCAAAGAGGTTTATTAAAAATAATAATCAACACAAAGTGTAGCAGTGGCTCCGACTACTCATCCAGAGCTCCAAATACATTTTGAGTAATTGAGTTTTTACTCTAGGGTTTCTATTTTAATTTGGTTATTACATTTTTCATTGGGTAACCAAATTTTTTTCACTCATCTATTCATCACTCTATTGGGTTTTTCCCAAAATTAAGGAACATTTTAAGATTTTAAAAAATGAAATAATATTTTAGATGTATATAACTGTTCTAAATATATAGGCTTGACTCGAGGTTTGAAAATGAGTTCAGGATATTAGCTCCTTTGAACGCATGCTGAAAAAGCTTTTTGGGGTATTTACGTATTTGAGTTTTTAATATAAGGCATGTGTTTCTGAATGTAAGTGAATTGAAAGTAATTGGGTATTGAATATATTTGGGGGGTATTTTATGCAAATATGCTGCTTATCTGCAGCTCTGTCATCTCCCACCCATTCCCCAGCTAATCAAGTTGGTCCAGCATAACATACTTTGTGAGCCAGGATCCGAGAAACTTCTCTGACAGTCCCTGAGAGTAGACGTCGGCGGTATCGATGAAGTTACCTCCCCATTCGACGTAGCGGTCAAGCACCTGGTGTGAATATTCCTCTGTGGCCTGACCAGGTAGCTTGGCCTGTAACACAAAGTGAGTGAGTGAGGTGAGTAAAGTTAAAACTTGCTTTCATCAGTATTTCCATTACTTCACAGCCTTCTTGGGTGATACACATCTATGATGTTTACGAACATGACAAAAAACCCACAAGCACAGGTATGGTGCGTCTTCCTGAGGCAAGGGAGTTAACTGACTATAAAAGTTAATTGTGGAATAATATTATGGCTGGACTTACAAGTTTATGAATAGTCCAATCAAAATCACGTAACAAAATTAACATCCGAATGGTAAACTTCTGTGCAGATTTCAGTCAATTGCAGGATTTGCGAAACATGTGTACCGTCAACTTAGCGTCAACAGATATTTTCCAAATCTTTTCATGTTTCTAATCAAGGATCAAGGGTTTTTTATTACAATAGATCTTGATTATCCATCAGATCGACTTGATTTGGCACCGCCATTTTGATTAAGGCAAGGTGATATCAGAGATGGAATCTGATAGAAGGGACAAAACTCATAATAGCCACTGGTGGCACTACTATCAAGCCCAGAAATTCCAGCCCAGTTCGGCAAGGGAAGAAACTGGACTTTTACAATCAGTTAACTCCCTTACCTCAGGAAGATGGGGTATGGTGCTGACAACCCTAGCAACATACTGAGGACCAATCAGGGATTCAAACCCACAATCATAGGTTTCTGGCACACCCAAGGGACATAACTCTGCACAGCTAATTACAGCCCCTTAGACAACTGTGACAGAAAGACACACTGTTAACTGATCAAGCTGTTTCATACCCTATTATTATAAGGTTTTATTATCTTTTGCAAACCCACACATCTGGCAATTTCAAATACTGATCTTACTTCTTACATTGCTAAATAACAATTTGCGTTTCCTACATTGTTTACATCAAGTGTGGTGATATATTTCAGGCAGATGTTTCACCAAGGTATCTTGCAACAAAATTCCACGAATTACGTCATAGGATATTGTGACGTGATTGTAAACTTTGCGATGCAGGGTCCCGTTCCACAAGGCGATCATAATGACAGCCGTACATCTATGTTAAAGTGTAGGAGTTATGACAACAAACAAACAAACTCCTGAATTCTAAAGGTAGGCCAGTGTATGGTATTAAATTCATATGTGTCAACTTTTGACGTGTTTAAAGAATTATTCTGTCATGATGTGGATTGTGTAGATGTCTGCCTATTCATTCACGACAGCGAAATATTTAGAAAAAGTTATAAACGGCAAGTATTAAATAAATACTAAATTTTATGAGCTCATCTATATTCTCTATTAAGCAACTTGTAGTGTAAGCATGAACAATATTTCATATTATTACACAGTCTTACAATATATATATCATAACCAAACACACATTCAGGTAGTCCTGTGGGGACCCATGTTACACCCCACCCCTCCCCCACCCCCCAAATCCCTTCACCATAATGTGCTCAAAGTCAATAAACCAGCTGTGTTAATGGCAGTTATGGACCAGATGACAAACTGGCAAACACCAAGAAAAACAAAACTGATAAACTTGGTCAGCCAGCTCTGGCTGTGGTTGTCTGTTGTCTGTCTGACAGTTTGTAAATATAGACCCTCATTATATTTAGGTCACAACCTGATAACATAGAAAAGACGGAGGGTGGTTTGTGCAAAGTCACAGTGAATAAATAGACTTGAGATAACAGCAATTCCTATTCTGTCATGGCTGTGAGGTTAAACGTTGACCTCCTCAGTTTAGACATTCTACCAGCTAGATAGAACTAAAAATCTTTCTAGTTTGGATATATGAATAATGTTTCCTGACTGGTCAATTTAACACTTTTAAGGTGAATACTCCTGTAAAGAATAAAGACGTTGCTATCAACTACTACTATCAACTACTACTTCTACTACTACTACTACTACTGCTACTACAATGTTAACACTTTGATTGGATAGCAATTTATTTTATTCTTTCTGACAAAGTTTTAGAGATACTTCTTGCTCCTATAAAGAATAAAGAAGTTGCTATCAACTACTACTATCAACTACTACTTCTACTACTACTACTACTACTACTACTGCTACTACAATGTTAACACTTTGATTGGATAGCAATTTATTTTATTCTTTCTGACAATGTTTTAGAGATATTTCTTGCTCCTATAAAGAATACTACAATTGTTTCCAGAAACTATCCCCCAAAAAGCACATTTCTCAGGAAACCATTCCCAGTGGCTAATGATCAGCTGATAAATACACAAAGCGCATGAATGTATACCCTCAGAAAAGAGGTCTCACTCTCAGCAGTGTTTGTCAGGCGTCCCCCACTTACCCCCGAATCTCCAAACGTCATCGTGCCGAGACATATGTTGGCCACCTTCAGTCCGGACCTCCCCAAGAAGTTGTAGGAAAGTTTACTCTCTTCAGGTACAGCTGACATCGTTGTTGTAGGGCGAGTAACGTCTGTTCTTACGGGTCGACGACTCGTCTCTGAAACTTGGCTGATACGGCAAAGGGGGGTAACTCTACCTAGAATGATTTTCCTTCCTTCGTGCCCCTTGAAAATCTTATGATTTTTAAAGTTCGAATCCGGGTTTCATGAAATGAACCTTTCATTAGAAATATCAATCTTTTGGAGTAATTGAAGCAATTATTGGTACGTTATTGACGTAGAAAAGACATGTTTATTTTCCATTGTTATAGATAATGTAATTCTAGACTCTTTATTATATTTACCCCTTCAAACAAATTAACAGTTCAACAAAGAATAATTGATGACATGTTATGACATTAAAAATGGATGTTTATGCATTGATTATATTTGTACGGGTTGTTATGGAAGTGTTTAGTCATTATAAATGTCATTCAGAGAACTTATTTGTGAAACAGGTTGTAGTAAAAACTCTTAAATAGTAAAACGGCATTGGAACTGTCACACTTATGTTAACAACCCCCTGCCCTGGTCACTGACCTCGCACCATATGGTGTATATTCCTCTACCTACAACACCTGACTGATATGGTTAATCTAGAGACGTGCCCTCGACAGAAGCGGCGGATAGTATGGCTGTTCGTGGTGGCGGTGGAAGCTGCGATGATGTCGCAGAACGGGTCTCCACACCGGGAACACTGGCCACTCGGTCCCGGTTTGCGTTACTACGAACATGTACCTTTTCGACTGTTATTCCCCATCAATAATAAACATGGCTTCTGTCTTCTTAAAGTCCACCCTCAACAACCAGGGAAAAACACGCCCTTGGACATTACCGACACAGTCTTATAAACTTCTGATTACGTCACACTACGGTAACAGAATTGAGTGAGTGAGTGAGTGAGTTGGGTTTAACGCCGCTTTTAACAGTATTCCAGTTATATCACGGCGTGTCAGCTTAATGTGGGAGGAAAGCCAGAAGTGATGCAGGTCTCAGACGTTTACCACTTCGGTGAAACCCACGAGCACGGGTATGGTGCTGACAAACCTAGAAACATAATTGGGGCGAACAGGGATCCGAACCCACAATCATAGGTTTCTGGCGTGCCCAAGGGACGCAACTCTGCACAGCGAATCGAGGCGTCTTAGACGACCGGGCCACCGCAACAGAAAGTTCTTCCAAATGTTGCTAAACGTCGACAACGCCCGGGACCTGATTAATACATTTCAATTGTAATACCTAGGTTTTACAAGTAACGTTTTATAAACTTACCTCTTGGTTTAACCAAAACCTCGGAAACGTGCTTTATCCTATACTTCTGGACACTGTCCAGTGTCTGATAGGATGACTGTCGCAGCTGATGACGTTACCATGATAATACGTTTCCTCAGATGGAGGATGCGTATGAAGTGTTTTCCTGGGTGGTGGTGACCGGATATCTGCCACTCCTAGGCCTGTCTCCCGTCCGCCCAGTGTGCCTCTACCTTTTTTCGGCTACAGGCAAAACTCCTTGCGACGTGGTCATGCATTGTTCCTTGACGTATCATACCAATGGTTTGCTATTTCAGTTTAGACTAACATCTAGTCTCTAAAATGAACGTATCGTACAGAAGAAAAACAGTTGTTCAGTTATCTTAATAAAAATATAATTAAAAGGAGCCCAGTGACTCTCTTCATTTTCAGATACTGCAGTGATCTAGACTTGCCAAACATTATAGACTTGCATGGGCTGTATTTGATATATATTTGTATCAGGGTCTGTAAGACAGACTACTTTCAGTTGTACCGTTACTCTTTGCATGTTATTTGTCACTGTCCAACGGTTTGGGTATGAATGAACAGTACATCATTTCTTTTATGCCTACATCTTTGTAGGCTGATATGCTACAAGTGCAGCAAACGTTTCACCTCAAACTCAAGTTCCACTGATCTGGGTACTGGAGCACGTGCATTACTCAGCGAACTGTTTTGGTTGTGTTTGGGCGATTGATTTCTCAACCATATTGTAACACTAGTCGGGGTTTGGACTTTAAGTTTGTTAACGTTTCTTTTGCTCGTCAGTTTACATCAAAAGCTATGCTAATTATGTCCATCATCCACAATCTTAGTAACTGAAAAGTACATTCCTCCAGTACTTGTGAGTACAAACATGTCAGGTTGTTTGGTTGGCTGGTTTGTTGTTTAACGCCGCACTCAGCAATATTCCGGCTATATGATGGCGGTCTGTAAATAATCGAGTCTGGACCAGACAATCCACCAATCAACCTTGGGTGAGAATTGTACTGCTGAACTCAGGATTATGATTAATTTAGATGCTGCTCCAATCAGCCCCTATTTGACTGTAAGGTATAGAGAAAATAACAGCAAGACTGTGTAAAATATGGAAGAGAATTTATGGATGTCAACTTCTTTATTATGAGATACGGGGGGCACGGGGGGCCCAGTCGTCTATGGCGCCGCGATTCGCTGTGCAGAGTTGCGTCCCTTGGGCACACCAGAAACCTATGATTGTGGGTTCGAATCCCGGTTCGCCCCGATAATATTTCTAGGTTTGTTAACACCTTACCCGTGCTCGTGGGTTTCGCCGAAGTG